TGGGCTTTGTGAGCTAGCTGCCTTGCTCTGCTGCCCATTTCTTACCTTAGTTTGTTCTCAGTTTACTGGGGAATGGGACAGATGGAGACAGACAAACCCAGTATTGGCAACATCCAGGCCATGTCCAAGGTTGGCCAAAGTAAAAAGACTGGCCTCCCCGCAGGGCAGAAGGTTGAGCAGTGGTTCCAAGTCTTTAGCTCTGAGCCCCTGGTCTATGTCTTCTTTTCTAGTTGCTTTTTAAAATTCTGCAATTGTTTTGAGAAATCCAATTTTTTAGACCAACCCGTTTATTAAACTTAAAATCTTTCTTTATTGATTTTTTAAAGTTAAATATTTAAAAAAAGGCAAAAAAAAAATACCCCAAACAAAACCACACCACTCTTACTTTCCCAAATTGATCCATGAGAGTCCCCCTGCACTCCCCTCTGCTTTTGCATCTGATCATTCCTCCCTCTTCCCTCAGCTTGATGCATCTATGTCCAGTGTCTGTGAAATGATGTTTTATCTGTGTCTCAGGATAAGAAACGGCAATCATTCCACCAGGTGCTGGAAACTGGTTAGCCTTGAGGCAAGGGTTTCTAGGGCCACAGCTCAGGGATGTGTATTTAATTACAGGGTCCCCAGAAACCCATCTCCTGGCTACCACAAGCAACAGCTTCTTTTCTGGGCTTAGGAGCCAGACCTGGACTGTTTCCTCGGAGGCAGGGGCCCCACAGACTTATGCTGGGGCTTCTTTTTTGACCAGAGCTGGGTTCCCTTGAGACTTGGGAAGACTTCAGTCTGTCTTGTAAGATGAACCACAGTGACCCTGCCTCTACCGGCTCACATGATGCCCAGTCCCTCTGCCTAATCCAGTACCCATCTGGCCTCTCTTCTCGGCCTGCAGCCCTCAGTGGGCTACAGCCTGCTCAGGAATCAGTTGCAGGCTCAAAGGGAAGTCATGAATCAGGCCAGAGCTTGCTTCAAGCCCAAGAAAAAATTTGTTTTACTGGTGGAGGCTAGTCTTCCAAATCCTGGAGCCTGCCCTGCCAGCCAAAGGATCATTTTTGCCCTTTGGTGACCACTGTTTTCTTTCTCTGAAATGTCTTAGATGATAATGTTGTTGACTCAAATTTCCATGAAAAAGAAGAAAAAAAAAAAAAAAACTACCTCTTGAGTGACATCCTGGTCTATTCCTCTCTGAGGAATCTTGTGGGAAAAGAATACTGTAGCTCCTGCTCTGTTTACATGTTTCTGTGGAGAAAGAAACCCTGCCTGCCCTGGGGTGTTGGGTGTTTTTGTCTGTGTTGCCATCCCAGGCCTGCGATAGGGGCTTGTGGCTACATTGTAATGTCTGGGCCCTGTCTGGGGAGTCCTTCCCACCTGCCCAGCCGGGGACCAGCCACCCCCTTGAAGAGGCCTCCTTTTCCTTCCTATGATGCAAGGCAGAGTGAGCACCACCTCCCGTGACACCACCTTCAGGAGCTCCGGGGGCACGTGCATCCATGAGCCTCCCTCCCCCTGGGCTCCCTACCCGAGGCCCACCTCTACCCACAGTCCTGTACAGGAGTCGAGTAAACAGGATGTCTCTGAGCCCTTGTCCCCAAAGGGCCGGCCAAGGGCTGCCCGCCAACCTGGCTCCATCAGTCCTGCATGACCAAGTGACGGTTGGCGGGCTCTGCTACCCAGGCCCTCTGCTACCTCCCACCCTGCCATCTGGCACGGAATGGGCCCTTTTCTGTGAATTGACTACCTGTGGAAATGTGACCAATTAGTGTGAAATGCATGTTTAGCGAATGTTAGGTACTGTATTTGAACCAATAAATGTGAATCCTTCTGCACACAGCATCTTGTCTGTGAAGCATGTCTGGGGTTCTGAGGCGGGATGGTGGGTGGTTCTGAGGAGTTGGCCCTGCCTTCAGACCTGTTGCTCCTGCTGTGTGTGCTCGGCGCTGTGTTGGGACTCTTCACAGACCTGAACCTCCTTGAACTTCAAGAATTACTCCCTTTACTTTGTAAATGAAGAAACTAAAGTTGAATACTGGTGAAGGGACGCTAACCTGCCAGAAAGTGGCACAGTTGGAGGAACTGAGTCTCTCGGGAGGGGCACACACAAACACGGTGGGATCGCGATCTGACTAAGGCTGTGCTGATGCCTGCCAGTGTGTGTGGGCCTGTATGTCACTGTGGTCCAGCCAGTCAGCCCCTGTCTCTCCAGAAAATGGATGAGGTTTTCTAGAGTTGAGAAACATGGAGGCTCTGAGAAGTCCCTGGGCTCAGGATGAGCTTCACAGATGAGTATTAAAGGTGGGCCTTGAAGACAGTCGCCAGACAGAGGACACACCAGGTAGAGTGGTCAACAACATGTTTGAAGGTCCAGCTGAGAATCAGAAACATACGAAATACCCAGACATGACAAGCGACTGCCGCGGCAGGAACGGGGGCAGGTGGGCGTTTTGGTGCGAGTTGAGGCGAGAGAGGCCCTGCGGAGCCTTGAATGCCGTGTTGAAGAGTTAGAGGAAGGAAGCCATCTGCTACATCTCGGGGAAGAGTTAAACCTCAGCGACCACGGTGTGCTCTTGGGTGGCCTGCCTGTCTGTCACTCTAGTCCAACCAGTTAATACTTGTTTTTCCAGAAAATAAATTTCCTAGAGCTGAGAAAACAGAAGCTCTGAGAGGTCAAGGTATGTGCCCAAAGGAAGTGTCAGGGTGCTGACTTGAACCTGAGATCTGCCCAACTGTCCTGTAATCCTGCAGTCCATACAGTCAGAGAAGTGGCAGTGTTTGGTTTGAGGGTTTTATGAATACAGATGGGAGAGATGAAAGGTCCTCAGTTTGGAAAGATGAAGGCTGAGGTGTCTGGGCTTGGCCCGGTGGCTCAGTTGATAAGAGAATCTGCCTGCCAACACAAGAGACACAAGTTCGACCCAGGATCCGAGAAGATCCCACATGCCGCGGAGCAACTAAGCCTGTGCACCACGACTACTGCAGCCCGAGCACTCTAAAGCCCGGGCTCCACAACAAGAGAAACCACGTGTCACAGCTAGAGAGGAGCCCCTGCTTGCCACGATAGAGAAAGGCTGCACAGCAACAAAGATCCAGCACAGCCAAAAATACATACATAAATAAAATTTTTCTTAAAAGGCTGAGGAGTCTGGTCAAAGTCTATTAAATCCCATGTGTGAAATGAGGGGAAGTCCAGCTGCCTTGCCATACCTCAGCCTCCTCTAGCACAAGCAACCAGAGAGCCCTTGAGGTTTGAAAGAGATGATTTTAGAATAAAGGAAACGCCGCAGAACTAATTAGTAGATTCCTCCTTGCCCCACAAGAGGGAACAGATAAGACACAGAGGTGCAAGGAAGAGAAAGTGTTTGCTGAAAGCCTAGTGAGTGCCAGGCCCTAGGATTGGTGTTTTACATACACTGACTCCTGTAATCCTCAAGAATTTTGCAAAGTTTAGATCTCAACCCCATTTTACTCATAAGCAAATTGAGGCTCAAGGAAGTTCAGCCATTTGCACCAAATGACACATGAGTAAGTGACAAAATTGGCTTTTGAATCCAGGTCTATCTGATATCAAAGTTACAACAAGCTTCCTCCCTGCTCAGCCTTAGCAGCTAAAATACTGCTGAATGTGAATGTCTGGAGTTTGTAACAAAGCTCAGGAATGGCCTTTGGTTGAACTTTTTGCTCTTAACAAAACTGTAAATTAATAAAGGATTAATTTCTATAAGAGATGAGTGAACAGACCCAAATTGAGCTGAAAAGCATTGCTGTCCCAAATATATGTTGTGGCTTCTCAGAACATAGATAACCCATATGTGGCTCCATGGAGGGGCAAAAAAAAAAAAGTAGTTCTGCCAAAAATCTGGGAAATACTTCACTCCTTCTACCTCCCTCTTATTGGTTCCCAACCTTTGATGGCATATTAAAGGCTTTGAGAAGTCCTACCTGAAGAAAACTTTAATTTTGTTTACCCAGGGTCTACCAAAAGAATGATCATGGATCATTCTTTCCTCCTGGTAAAATTCTGTTGGGACAGTGTTCCATGGAATAAATGTAGGACACTGCTCTAAATTTATAAATTGCTCCTTAACTAATGCTGATTTTTTTTTTTTTTTTTGAGTGCCAGTCAATAACCTGGAAATAAAGAATAATAAAGTAGGGACTTCTCTTAGTCGAGTGGCTAAGACTCTGTGCTCCTAATACAGGGGGCTCGGGTTTGATCCCTGGTCAGGGAACTAGATCCCATATGCCAAAACTAAGACCTGGCATAGCAAATAAATTTAAAAAATAATAATAATAAAGTAATTAACATATACAGCAAAGCTAAGTGCTGTACAGAAAAGTATTTTATATGCATTTGATTACTGATTCCTCAGGGCCATCCATTTTTATGCAAATCCTCTGAGGTACATCTCTGTTTAACTGAGGAGGAAACAGGATATGCTGGCAGCTCTGGGTTGTCAGAGTCTGGAGCCAGAAACGCCCAGAAATGGTGAGCAGGGGAGGGTGTTAGGATGAGGTTGGAAGTGACTCCATGGAGCCCTCCTCCAGGGGTCATTTTCCTCAGGCAGTTTGTGTGACAGCATACACATCAACCAGGGGTCTCGCCTCCTGAGTTCTAATTCCGCTCCTTCCTTTACCTGGTGTGGCCTTGGCCCAGAGAGATACCTCTCTGATCCTCACTGCCCCTGTCAGATAAATGGAGATGACAGTGTCTGTGTCTTGGGGGTTTAAGGAGGATTCACTAGCTGGTTCAAAGGAGAGCCTCTGTGAAGTCAACCCCTAAAAGGAGGGGAGGGGGCTGCAGCCCCTCATACTCCCAATAGCAGAAACCCAGGAAATCTAGAAGCCTCCTCCTCTCACTTGGCCTGGCTGCCCACCAGGTTTTTAGGCCCATAGTGGTAATCAGCTTCTCTGAGATCCTATGGCAAAAGTGCCCAACTGTCAGACCCAGGGCTCTTGGAGTCTTGTTCCCTTGGCAACAAGTCTCACCATGGAGACCACAGCCCCATCCTTGCCCTCCCTGCAAACTCCCTCTCCACAGACCTTCCCTGTTCAACACCTAGTCCTGGGAGCAGTGTAGGAACCAAGGAAAGCTTCAAGGAGGCCCTTCCTCAGGCTGAGGAGTTTGAGGCATGGCCAGTAAGAGGCAAAAGGAACTCCCGTTTTTTGTGTCTATTGTATGACTGGCAAGGTTCTGAGGAGTCTACCTATGTGGCTTCATTAGGTTAAAAGCCAGGCATTCACCCTATTTTATATAAGTGGAACCTGAGGCTCAAAGAGACAAGACAGACCAAAGTCTCACAGCTGATGGTCAGTCTTGGAGCAGGACTTGAGTACAGGGTTTCTGACCCAGGAACGCCCGCTTTTTCTGAATTCCCCCCCACCCCCGCCCAGTACACGTTGTCAAGACACAGCCTCCAGCCTCAGTCTGGGGAGGGTTAGAAAGTTGGGTGAATCCCTTCAGCTCTGGGCCTCTGCTGGTAGCATGAGAAGCAGCTAGCAACCCTTTCTGAGTCCTGGGCTGGGCTTCAGTGGCAGCAGCAGTGGAGGAACTGCACTATTTTAAGCCAGGGCCAGTAGGCCCCATGTGGGCACAGGGAGGGTGGCCTCAGGCCCTTGGCCAACTTCCCGGAAGTTGCCATGGCCTCCCTCCTCTCCCCTGAGCAGCTTTCTGAGGCAGTCACTTCCCTACAAACAGGAAGGAGGCTCTCAGGCCGAGAGACCTCCAGCCCCAGCTTCCTTCTCCTGCCCCACACCCCCTAGTCTTCACTAATACATGGGGGAGCCCACCATTTCCAGGCCCTGACCAGTGTCCATTATCTGGGCTGTCTCCTGGCTGTCTCCACCCAGGTGGGTGGGAGGGGGTCTGGATTTCTGCTGCTCAGGCCGCCCCAGTTCACCCATTGCAAGTCTGGGCCTCCACCTGCCCAAGATCTTTGTCCCCTTGCCCGCAGCCTGATTTCTCCTACACATTACCATAGAGGCTGGTCACCGTGAGCCAGAAGAGCAGAGTATCCCCAGATTTGGTCCCACTCAAGGATCTTAGAGAGAGAGAAGCTGGGACATTCCCAGAGAAAGATGGAGGCAAACACAGATTGACTGTGACAGAAACAAAAGCAGAGATGTTCACAGGCAAGAGCAGAGAGAAATAAGACACAGCTGCAAAGGGCTGGGGCCAAGAGGGCAGTGGGGTGTCTCTGAGTGGTTGCTCCTGACCACCCCCAAGTACAGGCCCTGTCTCAGGGCTGTGTGGGGCCCACCGGCTGCATGGTTGAAGAGGAATGTGGGGAGCAAGGCTGGGTCACCCCTTGAGGGCCAAGCGTGTGCAGTGTGAGATAAACTACCCCAGGAAGGGGGCCCCAGCTGCGGCTGCACGCTCCAGGAGCATGGCGGAGAGGCCTGGGCCCAAGGTTGGAGCCCCCGCGCTGCCAGACACCCAGTTCCTGAGTCTCCTCCTAGGAGTTTCCACCGGGCCTCACAGTCTAGAAGGTCTCAGGACCCACAGCCCAGTCCTGAGGGCATGCAGATTCCCATTCACAGAGCAAGGTGGGCCCTGGCAACCCTGCCAGCCACAGAGTCACTTCTCCAGCTCTGGCTGCAGTCCTGGCTCAGGTGAGGGGGCTAGGGGGCGGGGGCGGGGGGGGGGGTGGGCGGTCTCTAAGCTCTCCGTGCAGAACAGGGCTCCAGCAGAGGGGTGCTGTGGTGGAGCAGCGATGAGCAGGACTGTGACTTGTCCCCCGTGTGGCTTTGCACACTCACATGCACGTGTGTGAGTCTGTGTCCATGTGCTTCCTTGCTTATGGGAGTGTGCAAGGATGTACGTTTCCATGTGTTGCCAGGAGCCCCACTCTGCCACCACAAGTCCCTGCTCTCAGACTAGAGAAGTAGCCCCCAGAGGCACCTGGTCTCTCCCACCCCGACCAGGTGGTCCAGCCCCAAGAGCCACGAGGCAGAGGGGGAAGAGCAAGCAGGTCTACTGCCGTCCCCCCGGTCCTCCTCCCCACACTGCAGCTGAGGCTCCCGCTGGCCACGGCCTTGACCCGGCACTATGGACTTCTCTGACATTGGCATCGGATCTGAACATCTGGCAGCAGGCTGATAAGGGGTGCAGCGGAAACAGCCTCTGCCGCTGCCAGCAGCCCCACCCCCTCCAGGCCCTGCAAGGGGTCTTACACATCCACACTTTCTCCTTCCAGCTCAGGGCCTCCTGCTCCTCTCTCTTTTCTCACTCTCTGCTTCAGCCAGTCTCTCTCTCCCCTCTTTCTCTTTCTTCGCACCCGCATTCCCCTCTTCTCTCTGTCTCTGTCTGCTTCTCCCTCCCTCTTTCTGGGCATCTCTGTGTCTGTTACACTGTCAGGAGGTCTCCTTTGCTCTCCTCTCATTTTCTGTCTCTCTCTTTCTGTGGTTTCTTTCTGTCTTTCTACCCTGTACACCAAACCCAGCCTGATGATTCTTTCTCTTCTCCATTTCAGTTTCTGGGTCTCTATAGTTTGTTTGTTCCTTGTCCCACCTCCAGGAAATAGGCCTGGCACTTTGGGAAAGTCCCCACTTAGAAGGGAGACCCTGGGCTTTGTTTACTTGGGGACAGAGGGAGGGAGCCTGGTTCAGGACTACACTCCTTCTCCTTCCCCTCTGGGTGGGTCTCATGGCCTGAGACCACTGGGCAGGAACCGGAAGGAAAGGACAAATAGGCCACCTAGGGGCTCCCACGGAGTGAAGAGGACTCTGTCTGCAAGCCCAGATCCCAACTCCTCCTGCCTAGATTTGAATCCTAATTCCATCACATCCTGTTCTGTGACTTGGAGAAGACACCTCATCTCTCTGAGCCTGAGTTTCTTTCTCTCTCAAGTGTTATTCATGGGAGGTGAGGGGAAAATATAACACTAACTCCCTCCAGGATGGTAGAGAGGGTCTGAGACTGACCACAGGTATGGAATGGTTAGTAGGGACCCAAGGAGGCCCTTTTGTGTTAGGGCCTTGCCACTGCCAGCGAAACCTCATCCAGTAAGGCTGAGTGCAGAGGAGGCGGCACAGAGGAGGAGGATGTCAGTAAATATCCAGCAGGACTGGGGTGAGGAACACCCAGCCCGAGTGGTGGAAAGTGACAGCTGACTGCATGCAGAAAAGGCGGGCAGGTCGGGGAACAGGCAGCAGGACTCTACACTCACAGACAGCCTGCGGGTAGAGCGGCAAGCAGTCATTCAACAAACACTCGCTGCTGCGGGCTCTGTGCTGGCTTCTGTGGACTCAGAAATAAATCAGCCCTGAGTCTTTCCTTGAGGGTTCCCCAAGCTGGGGTGAGTCATTCTATCACAGAAGGGCAAACAGTGTTCAGGATGATGTTGCAATCTCAAACTCAATGCAGAAAGGGCCCCTGAGGACAGACCTGCCAGTCCTTCAGTTGGTTTGGTTGCGTTTTGCTATTTACTGAGCATATATGACATGTCAGGCAGTCACTGAGTATGTTATGTGTGTTGTCTCGTGTTGTCCTCATTTTTATGGGAGAGAATATGAGACCCAGAGAGAGGAAGATGACTGGTCCCAGGTCACACAACTAGAACGCAGAAGAGTTGGGATTTAATAGTCTCTACCACTAGCGCCTCGGCAATTCTTTTCCAGACTCAAGGCCTTGTGAGGAGACTGGCAAAACCAGGCTGGTTCTTTCCATGGTGCTGTGATGTTGAAAGACCCTGTTTGTCCTATTTAAGAAGGTGGAGAAAGCACATTTGCCCGTCTTTTCTTGGGATACTTTGTCAAGTAGTTTTAGAATGACTCCATGATTTGTAAAAACTAAAAAATATTTTAACCTCATCACAAAATCTTCACAAAGTATCCCATCAAAATGAGTGCGAAAGACTTTGCACTTGTTTTTTCATTGTTGTCACAAGTAAGCAATATATTGGTGATAATAGGATATTTGCTGGAATATTTATTTTTTAAATTCAGAGGATGAGTGCTATCAATCTAGAAACCAAATCATTATATTAAAATAGAGATACTAGTTGGATTCGGTCATATACAAGAGAAGTGTATCCTATAAGAACTTCTGTGGGTAAAAAAAGACATAATTATGAAGTCATGCACATTGGGGAATAAGTTGCAAATTATATCACAGTACAATTAGAATATATTGGATCAACAGAATCAATTAGTTATGATTGTCAGTAAACATTTTGTCCTGTGTATATCTTCACAATAAAAATGTCTTACTTATTGCATTAATCAATTCATAATATGATTAATGCAACATGTAAATCAGATCATCATGCTGTGTTCCTTAAACTTATACAGTGGTGTGTGTTAATTATTTCTCAATAAAACTGGGGGACAATGTTTTAAGTGGCACATTGAGGAAGACACATCAGGTTTTAAATATAGTTGGCTTTAAGGACTTCTCTTGTAGTTCAGTTGGTAAAAAAATCTGCCTGCCATGCAGGAGACTCGGGTTCGATTCCTGGGTTGGGAAGATCCCCTGGAGAAGGAAATGGCAACCCACTCCAGTATTCTTGCCTGGAGAATCCCATGGACAGAGGAGCCTGGTGGGCTACAGTCCATGGGGTCACAAGAGTCGGACATGACTTACTGACTAAACCATCACTGGTGGTCCAGTGGTTAGACACGGTGCTTCCCCTGCAGATGGCAGTGGTTCAATCCCTGGTCAGGGAACTAAGATACCACGTGACACGGGGTGTGGCAAAAAAAAAACAAACAGGAAAAAAAAAGATAAAAAAAAGAATATGAGAGGGGTTTTTCTCATTCCAAGCCAGGTAAGTGAAGTGTTCTATGTGATTTGTCTGTTTCCTCAAATGAAGAGGGTTGTGTGTGGATTCTCCAATGATTGCTCCATGGTCCCCCTGTGCCCCCTCCCCACCCCCTAAGACAAAAGGCTGGGAGGTAAATTCTCTGAGGACAGAGACTTCTTTCTTTCCCTTTCCTCCGGTGCCTAGACCAGTGCTTGGCACCGAGTGTGCCCTCAGTGAATGCGAGACGCATGAAGGAACACACGAAAGAGTGAGGCATGCGTGGGAGGGGGACAAAGCAGACCAGCTGGGACCTCTGGGACTAGGGCCTGTCTGGGTCTGGAGATTGGACTGGGACACCCTCAGCTGCATGGTGAGGCCTGACCTTCCTTAAAAAAAAAAATCCCTTCCCTCTGTTCTGCCCTATTTGTCCCGGTCTAGTTGCCTGCTTGTCCTACCCTGGAGCCACTGGAACCAACCACCCAGCCCTGCAGGAAGTCTCAGCCCAACCTCAACTTCCCCAGCTGTTGACCGGGAGCGTCAGCAGCCCTCTGTGGATGGTGACATTCAGAGAAGACGACGTGGAATAAACTGCACACACGAGAGGTGTTCGGTCAGCTCACCTGCTTGCCTTTCATCCCCCTCTTCCTTTCTTCATCTTCTGAAAGAGTAAAAAGACCAGGCCAAAGCATCAGGGCCAGCTGGTCGAGTCAGCCGTGACCCTGCCTCCATGCCAGCCCGACCTGACTCCCCTCACATGTCTGGGCCAGGCCGGACCCCGCTGGGCCAGGCCCCAGGGAGGCAGCCATTCGAGGGCAGAGAGGCCGGGCTGCAGGCCGGGGTGGGGGGAGCTGCCCATAAATCAGGGCCCACTCCCACCCAGTCGCTAACAAGCGGGGCTGCCTACCCGCCTACGTGGGGTCCCTGCCTCTGGGCTGCCACAGCGGCCTGGAACAGCCAGCTGGCCAAGGCCTCCAGAGTGCCTTGGCCTCCGCCCCCATCCGCGGCCCCGAGATAGATAGGAGTATTTTTTTTTTCTTTTAGGAGAAGAAAAAAAAAATAGACCTAAATGAAGAGAAACACCAACAAAGAAGGAGAGAGGCCTGCAGAGTCACGTGGGGGCAGAGACCAATTGGGCCTCCGGTGGCCCCCCCACCCAGGGCGGGGAGGAGGAGGAGGAGGACGGACGGACAGGGCCAGCCTACTGTCCGCCCGCCGCCCGCCGTGGCGTAAAGGAGTTCCCGTGTGCCCACGGTCACCACCGCCCCACCTGGGCCACTGGAGCTTCCCCTTGGACCCCCGGTGCCCACTGGCCACCCTCATCCAGCGTGCGAGCTCGCCTTCCGCTCCGTAAGTGAGGGCCTGGGCCCAGGCCTCTGATGGCCAGCCTCCCTCCTCAGTGCCTCCCGGCGGCCTGGGCCGGCCACTGCCTGCTCCACTGAGTGACTGGTGCCCGCTATTCTGGGCAGGAAAGGGGCCAGGGATCTCCCCAGACCTGCCCTCCTACCATGCTACCCCTTCTTTTCCCTGGCTGGCTGTCGGGAGGAACTAGGCCTACGGGGACAGGCCCTACGGGGGTCTGTGTGTGTCCTGCTGTCTCCGGGTGGCCGGGTGTTCACAGGACTGCGCTGGCCCAAGCCTCGTAGCCTGAATGTACATCCGTGGTCCCTGGGTCTGTCTTTGGGTCTCTGCGTCTCCCTGCCTGCGACTCTGTGCTGTCTCTGTGGATGTCTCTGAGTCTCTGTGTGGATTCAGTCGTCTGTCTCTAGTATCCATCTGTCAATCCGGGTTCTGTGGCTGGGCCAGGTCTGAGTTTGCTTCCCTGGGTAGGTAGGTGAGGGGCTGTGATTCCCCATATGTTGAGCTAGAACCTAGGACTGTGAGGAGTGGGTGCAATGAAGCTGGAGGGTCAACCCAAGGGCTCCCAGCCAGTGACAGTGGAACCTCTGGGAGAGGGGATCTAAATGGAAGGGGAAGGAGAGAACTGGCTTGGAGCCCAGGCCCCACCCCACCTGGGTCCCCAGCCCAGACTTGTGCTTACACTGCCTGAGTCCTCCTCAACAAGGTCTAGGAGACCCCGGTGGGCTCCATCCCAGAGAAGCTGACTGGGGATTCCCCAGCCCAGCCCTCCCCTTCAATCCCCTTCCCTCTCTGCTGCTCCTGGTTGCCACTTTCTGAGGGCCCCTCCCTGACCGTCGGGTGGCAGTGGCCCCCACCCCCCAGCTCCTGCAGACTTCTCAGGGGTTTGGGGTAACGGGTGGAGGGGTCTGCACTAACTGTCTTTCCTCCCTCCTCACCAAGACTGGTCCATGGACTCCCACGGAAACCACAGAATCTCTTCTGTAGGGCTGGCCTTTTCCATTTTATATACGGAGAAATTGAGGCTCAGAGAAGCAAAGTGACCTGTCTGAGCTTGCCTCACAAGTCGGCCGCAGCGTCTGCCCTTCATCAGCCGGGTGAGCGAGACGGGAGGTGGTCTGCGTGGGGTCTTAAGGCCTCGGTGCGCAGGATCAAGGCGCCAGCTCCAGCTAAAGCCAGAGGCCTCGGGGCACAGGCCCAGACGAAGCAGACCGCAGCCTAGGGTCCGAGCCTTCAGATTTGAGCCTTTTGGGCGGCTGCGAAGCTGCAAATGCCTAATTGTGGTATCTCCCTGCTTGAAGATCGGGCCTTTTTGGCTTCATTGTTCGCAACACTCTCTTGGACCCTAGGTGCCCTGAGGGGGCAGGGGCAGGATGCAAGCAGGCGCCTTCCTCTCTCGGGTCTCAATTTTTTACATTCAAAAAATGAGAGTGACTGAATAGATGCCCTCCAGCCCAGAGCAATGGCTCAGAACTTTGGCTCGACGACCCCAGGACACTTTTGTCCCTAGAGATGCCGGGCACTCTCTTGCCCAGCAAGTAAGGGCGCAGAACTGGACTGGAAGGGGATTTCTCCTCCCCCTGGGTTCTGTTCTCCCAGCTCCCATGCCCTCGGTGGTTTTGAGTCCTTACCAGACCTCGGAAAACTCTAAGGGTGGGATTACTACGACTCCCATTTCAAGCCAAGCAAACCGAAGCTCAAGGAGAAGAGTTTGCTCCAGGTCTCCCAACTGGATGCTTTCAGCGATTCCGCAGTGCCAGGCATGTGTTTTGACAACACTACTTCCGTTCATCCGCACGGCCACCCTTAAAGTTCAGTCATCACTCCCACTTTACAGATGAGGAAACTGAAGGCTGCAGAGGGGAGATTTGCTTAAATCTCCATTGAGGAAATGTGCCTGGGTGGGGGTGGGGGTGGGGACCCAGTTTCTAGCCTTGAACCGGTGTCTTGGCCACGGTCTCCCCACGTTTGCCCTACCTGTTTCCATGCTGCAAAACGGCCAGCGCCCCCAGCGTGGCCCTCACCAAGACTAAGCAGGATTTACAAATAGGGACTAGACTCCTTTCACGGCAGGAGGGTGGCCCAAGGCTCCCAGGCGCCCAGCACCTGCTCAGATTCCCGGGCACCTGGGCTCCGGGGGCCGGGATGGGAATGGGGGTCCGAGAGGGTGAGAGGAAAGACACGAACCCGTCTCGGTGGCGTTGGAGGGCGCGGGCCGGGCCTCCGCCCCCGAATACCGCAGGAGCCCATATAGAGCGGCCGGCCCCTGGTCCCGGCGCGGCGGGTTCGCGCAGCGCGCACTGGCAGTGCAGGGGCCCGGGTCCCAGGTGCGCCTCGGAGCGGCCCTGGAGGCGGCGGGGGGGGCCTCCGCCCCCGAATACCGCAGGAGCCCATATGGGGCGCTGCTGCTCGCAGGAGTCGCCAGGTGGGCGCCGGGCGGGCCGCGGCCGCCGTCGCGCCCCTTTGCGCTGCCTGGATCCTTCCAGGCTCTGCGCGCTTCCCTCCTGGGGACTTCGACTCTCCGCCCGAGGTCGCTCCCCCGCCTCGGGCTCGGCCTCTCTCTCGGGGCCCGCGGGGTCTCCGTCCGAGATCTCTGCGCCTCGCGCCCGGCTTGCAGCTCCACGCCCGGCGCCCGCTGCCTCCGCTGCGCCCTCCTCGCCTGTCTCCGTCCGACGTCCCCGTCTCGGTGGCACGGCCTCGGTCTCGTTGAAGGTGGCTGCCGCCCACGGGCTTTGTCTCTCCTGGCCTGGGGGCCCGGCAGCTCCGCGATTTCGGGCTCTCTGCCCGGTGCCGTCGTTGTCCGCCTCTGTCAGCTCGAGCGCCTGTCCGGGTCCGACTCTGCCGGGCCGCGCCTCTGAGCTCGGGGCCGGGGTCCGACCGCTTTCCGTGGTCTCCCCGTCCCCGAACCCCTGGCCGGGCTCCTCCGTCTCTCCAGGTTTTCTCTCAGTGTCTCTGTCTCTCTGGCTGGGTATCTCCCAGGTTTCCTCTTGTCTCTCTGGTGTCTTGGTCTGTCTCTCGTCTACCACCGTGTTTCTGGCTTTGCAGCTGTCTCTCCGAGGTTTTCTCTTTGGGCCTCTGATCTCTGTCTTTTCTGCCCTCTGTCTCTCGCTCTCTCGTCTCTGTCTCCACTGCACTCTCTGTCTCTACCTCTATCTCGCTGTCTCTTCACCTTTCTTGTCTCCCTCAGGTTTTCTGACTCCGCATCAATGCCTCTCTGTCACTCTCGGATTTTCGTTGTCTCCGTCGCCCCCCGGGGTACTCTCTCAGTTAAGTAGCCTCGGTCGGTGTCTCTCGCTCTCTTTTCTGCCCATCTCTGGGTCTCCCAGACTCTGCCTCTGTTTCCCTCGCCCCCATCCGATCCCCAGAACGCTTGGGCCCCATTCCACCCGGGGTTCAATGGCATCATCCCGGCAGGCGAGCTCATCTCGTTTTCTCAGAATCGGGGTTTTGTTCTTAAATGAACGAATCCGGATCAAAGCGCATTTAATCTGAGAGTCCCAGATCGGCCGCGGTGGGGGGCCTCTCAGGAGGAGCCCCTGGGAGGTTGGGAAGCGGGAGCGGCGGGAGTGCGGGGACAGGGCCAGCAAGGGCCCCGCACGCACGGGAGCTGCTCCGGACACATGTGCTGCTGTCGCTGCTCAGGACGCTCTCTTGGGGGGCCTGCAACAGTCGTCCTTGACCACAGGAGCTGCAGTGGGGCCCCGGGGCCGGGCCCGTAAGCAGGGGGCCGAGGGGCGCGCGGCCGCGGGGGCGTAGGACCCACCGCGCCCAGGGCCCCCAGCACTACCAGCGGCCGTCCCGCCCTGCCATGAACCTCTCCTCCCTCCACAGGCGGACGCCGTGGGCATGGACTATTCGTACGACGAGGACCTGGACGAGCTGTGCCCCGTGTGTGGGGACAAGGTGTCCGGCTACCACTACGGGCTGCTCACATGCGAGAGCTGCAAGGTGAGCGGGCAGCTGGTCGGCAGGGGACAGGCGCGAACGGCGGCGGGTGAGCCACGAACGGGGACGCGGCGGAAGGCCCGGCTGGGAGGTGCAGGGAAGGGGAGACAGAGCCTGTCCCCCTCCTGCGCTGACTCCCCTCTCCCTCAGGGCTTCTTCAAGCGCACGGTGCAGAACAACAAGCACTACACGTGCACCGAGAGCCAGAGCTGCAAGATCGACAAGACGCAGCGCAAGCGCTGTCCCTTCTGCCGCTTCCAGAAGTGCCTGACGGTGGGGATGCGCCTGGAAGGTGCGCGTGCAGTGCCTCCTACCCCTGACCTCTGACGGAGAGGGGGCAGGGGGTGGAGATGGGAGAAGGAGTGAGGGGAGGCTACCATAGGTCTTCTTGAAGTTTCTGAGGCCAGGCGGTTAGTCCCTCACGTGAAATTAGGGCCGATCCCTATGGGGGAGGGGTGAGAACCGATGCTGGTTTGGCTGAAGGGATGGGGATAGGACCAGCCTGCGGGGGGCGGGGGGGGGGGCGGGGCGGGATTGGGAAGTATGCAAAAGTGAACCCCAGAGAGAGCACCCTCTCCCCAGCCCCACAGAGTTCCTCCCTCTGTGAGCTCTCTAACACCCCCACTGACATCCAACACCAAGCCAGAGCCAAGGTGTTCAGTACCGTTCAGTACCTCTACTGGAGTTCAAATCCCAGTGCCATCACTTATAGGCTGGGTGATGCCGGCAAGTCCCTAACCCTCTCTGAGCTGCAGACTCCCCATCTGAAGTGAAAGTGAAGGTTGCTCAGTCCTGTCGGACTCTTTGTGACCCCATGGACTATGCAGTCCATGGAATTCTCCAGGCCAGAATACTGGAGTGGGTAGCCTTTCCCTTCTCCAGGGGATCTTCCCAACCCAGAGATCCAACCCAGGTCTCCCGCATTGCAGGGGGATTCTTTACCACAAGGGATGGAACTTTTCAGTAGTACCTTCCGCCTTGAGTTAGTAAGAGAATTGTATGAAAAGCTCCTAGCATGGGGCCTGAAATGTAGAAAATGCTCAAGAGGTTAGTGTTATTGTTATCCTTACTGGTGTTATTATCCATCCAGCATCACTGTGCAGCCCTCACTCACCCAGACCACTCATCTCTTCGTCTGCCCATCCAAACAGAAGGTTCACTCAGTTCACTCACTCAGCAGGTCCCTAGCCAGGCCCTAGAGAGCTGGGGAGTGGGGACCAAGTGCCCCCAGAGAACCCAGGCCCAGCCTTGTCTCCCCACCCCCACCCCTAACTTCTCCGTCCAGAGGGGAAGAAAAACGCTTCAGCAGGAAAGACTCATGCTCTTTGAGGGTGGACAGTCATAGGCTTCCACCCCACTGGCCCCAGCCGGGCTGTGCGCCGAGCAGGCAGCTGTTGGTTAAAGTTTTTAAACAATGTAGAAGGCCCCTGGTGGCTCTGAAAGCTGCCGGGGCCATGAGTCCTGCCACCTAGAGGAAGGGCTCCTGATGGAAGGGGGATATCCTGTCCTGCCCCCCAGGGCCCAGGGCCCCAGCTCCTGGGCCAGAGGGAGTGGAGCGGGGCTGCCCACTCCCATGGCAGGAAGACTGGCTGGGTGGGCCCCGGGATGCCCTCCTTGCTGAGCACCGGCCTCTCCCTCCTCTCCTCTCCCTTCTCCTGGAGCTCAGGGTGGGGTCCTGTCTAAGCAGGGGCAGGGGCCACACTTCGGCTGTAGAGATACACCTGTTGGGTCTGGCTGGTGACACATTCTTGGCCAGGCGGAGGGACATCTGGTCAGCAAGGGAGGTCCCTTCCCCCAGCCCAGAGCCCCAGCCAGCCCTAAACTCAGCTTCAAATTTGAAGGCAGCAGGGGAAGCCTGAGTCATTTCGCAACAAGGGTTCAACAGAGTTAGGCAGACAGTCAAGAAGCAGCTGAACCCTGGGAACCCACCTGGATGTGAGGCTGACCAGAGCCCACTTCCCGTCACCACCTCCCTGCCAGGCCCTGTGCTGGGCACCTGAGCCCATTGCTGGGCCCCCGGAAGTTCTCACCCAGGGTATGATAGCACTCTGGGGTGAGAGGCCAGACATCTGGGTAAGAAGAGAGGATGCTGCCCGTGAACCCAGAACACTTTGGTGTTTAGTAAAGCACGAGAGATGGAAAGGCTTTGAGACAGAAGGAATATCACAGTCAGGGTGGGGGACATGCCAAGCAGAGATGTAGAGAGGTAGTAAGGTGGAGAGGAAAGAAGACAGGGGCTCGTGAGGGATAGACAACCTGGCAAGGGAACCAGGGCCGTGAATGCCAGGTTAGGGGATTGACTCTTATGAATGCCAGATTCAGGGCACCAGAGGAGCCATGAGAGGTGCAGAGCTGGGGAGAGGCCCAATCAGATCTATCTGGGAAAAAGTTGTGAGTGGAGTGGTAGGGCGGGTGGCCTGGAGGGGATGAGCCTGCCCTCCCTCTGCCTCTGCCCACAGCCGTGCGTGCTGACCGCATGCGAGGTGGCCGGAACAAGTTTGGGCCCATGTACAAGCGGGACCGGGCTCTGAAGCAGCAGAAGAAGGCACAGATTCGAGCTAATGGCTTCAAGCTGGAGACAGGACCCCCAATGGGGGTGCCCCCGCCACCACCTCCCCCACCGGACTACATGCTGCCCCATGGCCTGCATGCATCTGAGCCCAAGGGCCTGGCCTCCGGTCCACCAGCTGGGCCGCTGGGCGACTTTGGGGCCCCAGCGTTACCCATGGCTGTGCCCAGCGCCAATGGGCCACTGGCTGGCTACCTCTACCCTGCCTTCCCTGGCCGCGCCATCAAGTCTGAGTACCCAGAGCCCTATGCCAGCCCCCCACAGCCCGGGCCGCCCTACGGCTACCCAGAGCCCTTCTCGGGGGGGCCTGGCGTGCCCGAACTTATCCTACAGCTGCTGCAGCTGGAGCCAGATGAGGACCAGGTACGGGCACGCATCGTGGGCTGCCTGCAGGAACCGACCAAAGGCCGCCCTGACCAGCCTGCGCCCTTCAGCCTCCTGTGCAGAATGGCTGACCAGACCTTCATCTCCATCGTGGACTGGGCACGCAGGTGCATGGTCTTCAAGGAGCTGGAGGTGAGTCCCTCCTCCCACCTGGCTGGCCGCTGGACCTGGGGTGTCCTCTCAGCTGCCTGAGTCTCAGTCTTGGCCACCCCTTGGGTGGGACTAGCCTACCCACTGGCTTCAGGCTGTGTCAGGGGACAGGGAGGCCACCCTGGGGAAGCGAGGAGTATTTCTGGTCCATCTCAGCCTGCCCTGCCCCTCTCCCACCTCCCCACTCACCCCTCCCTCTTTCTCCTTCTCTGTTTCCTGAGTCTCTATCTCATGCGGCCTCTGCTTCTTTATCTCTGCCTCTGCCTCTTTCTGGTGTGCTATCTCTGTTTCCCTGTCTCTCTCAGTCTCTGTCAATCTCTCAACCCCTTCAATCTCTGTCTCTTTCTCTCCCAGTCTGCATCTCTCTGAACACTTCTCTTTCTATAGGTTCTCCCAGAGGACTAGCTTTGTCCCTGGGAAGCTGCGTCTGGCTGCCCCAGCCCAGCATCAGGAAGAGAGTCCAGGCCCTCCTGTCCTCTCATTTGGAGAGGCCACCACTCCCCACTAGCCTCAGATGTCATAGAAGGGGTGTTAGTATCTCAGAGTTTGGGGTGCTTCTCCTTCCTACCTAAGGCGAAACCTCTCACTATCCCTGCATCTCTCGTGCATGGTGGTTGGTGGCACAGTCATGTCCGACTCTTGTGACCCGTAGACTGTAGCCCGCCAGGCTCCTCCGTCCCTGGGATTCTCCAGGCAAGAATACTGGAGTGGGTTGCCATTTCCTTCTCCAGAGGATCTTCCCAACTTAGGGGTTGAACCCAGGTCTCCTGCACTGCAGTCAGACTCTTTACCGACTGAGCTACGAGGAAAGCCCTGTGGTGGCTGGTCCTAGATGTAAATGTGTGTGTGCGCGCATGCACAGGGAGAGCTAGGTGCCGGGATAAGTAGGGGATGGCAGTGCCCGCCTCTCATCTTCCAGATACTTTGACTGCAAGGTCTTCCATTCCCCTGGATTGAGATACCTGTGGCTAAAATAAGCAGGAAAGCAGCAGGAGAAACTAAGGCCAGACACACAAAAACTTCCCACTCATCCTGCCCAGTGGTTTGAAGCGCTCAAAGGCTGGGAGCTGCCCCTCTAGTGCCCGGGCTCCCTCTGGTCAGGGTGTCCTGCCAACCTCAGCGGCCCCCCAAGCCTGGCCAAAGCCCATCCTCCCAGGCTCAGACCAAGACATGATAGGCCTTCAGTCCAGGCCTGCTGATGTTCGCTTCTCGCAGGTCTGCCCCCCGGCTGCTCTGGTACTAGCTGTAAACAGCAGGGCCTGTGGCCTCCCTGCTGGAGCCGCTGCAGCCTTGAGCAGCATTGTCAGGCTGACGCCACGCAGGCCTGGGCTTCCTCCAGGGGCATGTGGCCGGATGGGCCGGGGGCACTGCCTGCCGGGGCTGGGCTGGACTCGGGGTGGGGGAGGGGTGAGATGAAGGCTGGGCACTATGAACCCACCGGGCACTGTAGGGCCGGGGGCCTGGGTTGCCCTGGGAGTCAAGAGTTGGCAGTGGTGTTTTCTGCTTCGGCTGTGGAGGGCCTCTGTCGTGGCTGAGGTCTGGGGATGTGCCACGTGTCTGTTGTGGGGTGGGACTTCTCACCCATGCCCCCTCTCTAGGCTGACCTCATGGACAGAACAAGAGGCAGGGCCTCAAACAGTCCCCTCTGCCTTCTACTCTTGCCTGGAGGCCCTGAATGGGGGATGAGGGTCCTGAGACGCTTGGATTGGTTGCCAGCTTTCCCTCCAAGCCTCCCATGAGCCCCCAGTGCAGAGGGGAGGAGGAACAGAGCCTTCCTGGCCTTCCAGAACCCTGGATCCAGGGGCAGGGCACTTCCTCTGGCCGCCTTCCTGGTCTCTCGGGGGGTTTTCACGCAGGATGGGAAGGGCTTTTGTCCCAGCTTTGCTGAGTGTTTTTTCCTGCTTCTGGCTTCTCTGTGGTCCAAACCTTCCTGCTTCCCCTTCTCAGAGTCTCTGAATCAAGCCCAGGTTACCAACCTCTGTAAAGGAGACTTGCAGATAAGTAAGTACTAGCCCAGCCCTTAGAGGGCCTCTCATCAGCCATATGGAACTTCTTTCCCACTGGTCCAGTGAGTCCTGGGCTGATGTGTTTGCAGTGCCAGAGGTAGGGAAGCAGAAAAGTGGGAGGGGAGCCGAGTGACTCTGTTCTCCCCTTTGACTCTTCATTTCTCACCTCTGGGCAGGACACATCTTAGCAGCCAGCAGAGAGGGTGCTTCTAGAGCGGGGCCGCCCTTGGCCTGTGCATGGGGACAATGAAATGAATGGGACCCAGGGGGCTGCAGGCCAGAGGAGGAGACAGACATGCACATAGATAACGCCAACACAGGGCACAGAGTGCCCAGGTCTCTGAGAGCAGTAGAAAGGGGCCAAGGGAGCCCAGTAGGAGAGCACATGGCTCTATCTTAGAAAGTTAGAAGAGGTTTCTTGATCTGCTCCTCTCCAGAAAGCAGCCTGAAAAGATTAAGGGTGTTCCAGGAAATAGGAACAGCATCAGGTCCAGAAGTGCAGAAAGGCATCATGTGTCAGGGAACCCCAGGCAGTACTGTGAGGCAGGGCTGGAGAGGTAGGGAGGACGGGAAGCAGAGCTTGGACCAGGACTAGGTCCTTCGGCGGTTGGTGATGGACAGCCAGCCAGGGAAGTCCGGCTCCCACCGCAGAGCTGGAGCTCTCCCTATAGAGACCCACTCAGTCCCCTGTGATGCTGATGATGTCTTACTGCCCAGGGCAAGGCATGAGGTCATTGCTGAGCTGATATTGGGGGTTTCAGATGCTCTTTGGGGGTTCCCCTCCTCCATCCTGTTTCCCAGCCTCGATGTCCCTCTGTGTCTGCATGATGTCCCATCTCATGCAATCGCAGTGTGCTAAATATGATGTGGCACAGAGATTGGAAACACAGACTGGAAGCAAGAAGGCCTGTGTGCAGCTTCCAGATTGCCACTCATCTGCTGTGTGCCTTCATGACTTTACTCTTCTGGGCCTCAGTTTTCCATATCTGTAAAAAGGGGGCAGTGGAAATAATCACCACCTCCTAGGGTTGTTGGAAGGGCTTAGTGAGCGGAGGGCAGGTTAAAGAATTTAGCACAGGGTGCAGTGGACAGGAAGCGTTCAGTGAGTCGGGGCTCAGCTCCCTCCCTCACCCTCTGCTGCCGGCTCACTGAATCTAACCTTGCAGCTGGCAGACAGGCCAGGACAGGAAGAAGGAGAAAAGATATATCACCTCCGTGCTCCTCTGAGCATGCTAGGGCTCTGAGAGAAGACAGGGCCCACCTTGCCCTGTGCTTCCAAAGCAGCTTTGTACCTGCAAGGTAGCAGAAACCCACCTGTACGTACTGCTCAGTGGGGGCAGGGTGTAGGCCCAGGCGGGCAGCCTCTCTGGACAGTCCCCCTGAAAGACAGCTGGGAGGATGCAAGATAGCAATCAGGGAGGTGGAGGCGAGGGCCAGGAACGCCTAATGACCCATCTTGACATCAGTTCACCCTTGACGCCCAGCTCCGAGGCCCTCAATCGGCAACAGATTTAACTGCTTAGATATATGGTTTCATTTAAGTGACAGTAACTCTGTCAGTCCTGGGCTGACAAATGACAGCCCGCCAACCACTCAGCCCGGAGAGCTCCAGGGCCAGCCCATGGCTTGGCAGCCACTGGAGAATTACGGGGCCCGCTGGCCTTCGCCCGCCAGACTGATCAGGCCCCAGGGGGCTCCGGAGGGGGCCCCGCTGGGAGGGAGGTCATCTCAGCACCCATAAATACCCGGTCTCCGAGGCAGGCTGCGAAGTGTCAAGGCTCCAGGAAGATTTGTGGCGGACTGGCTGGAGGGGTGGGCGGCTGGTGGGCCCAGCAGACAGGCCCGGCTGATGAGGGACCCCAGGGCTGCGACTGCAAATGCCCTGATTGCCAGGGTGGCAGGGCAAAGGTAGAGGACCTTTTGCTTAGGGAGAAGCCTGCGGAAGGTGGAGACCAGCCCTCTCTGGTTAAGTGAGCCTCTTCGCCACCTGCTTTCCTATGGAGAGGGACTGGCCCTGTGGTTTTCCTTTTAATGAAAAGGGGTGTGTGTGTGTGTGTGTGTGTGCGCGTGAGCGCACGCATTCCTCTGTGTGGGGAATGTTTGGAGTTTGGTATCCTTGTGTATCCATCTAGACAAAGTGAGAGTGAAGCGTCTGGAAGGCGCAACTGCTTAGCTGGTGGGTAGGGGAACCCAGACGAGGGGGGCAGTGTCTCTGGAATAAGTCACCTGGGAACCCTTCACGACTGACACCGCTGGGCTCATATGTTTTCTGCAACCAAAAGAGGGAGGATTTATCTTCCCATCTCTCAGGGTAGGAAATCAGGGCCGGGTGTGTGGCTAAGTGGGAACCGGAAGGCACAGGGCGCCGAAGCCCAGCCTCCATAGTGCACCTCTCTGCCTGTGCCCCTTCCACCCCCGTGGCAGGGCTGCCCCCACTCCCGGGGTCTGAGGTCTGGGTACAGAGTCTGCTCCCGGGGCTCGGCCTGCCGGGTCACTGTGACCCCTTCTGCTTTCTGCCCAAAGCTCAGCCAGCTTATCTCCTAATTCTCCCCCTTATCTCATGTGCTTCCATTGCCCCACCCCCTGTTCCCTTAATTCAGGCACAAGGGTGTCTGCTCACGAGGGCCCCAGTGGGTGGGGGGGTGGGAGGTGGGCAGAGCCCATCCCTGCACACCCTCTGTCTCCATCTGGGTTGGCCAAAACGGGCCAGTGTGACTCCCCGAGCAGGAGATGATGGGGAACGGGGCCTGGTCGAGGTGCTTGCAGAGCCTTGCCTCCCTCCTTGGAAGTGATGGGCAGGCTCTCGGGGGGCTGGCCGCTTCCTGAGGTGAGATAAGGCGAGGTGCCCCCTGCCTGCTCCGTCTCTCCTGGCACCTCCTATGCAGGGCTACTTCTGCCTGAGCCTGGGTTCCCCCAGCCTGGGAGTTTTTGTTCAGACAGTTATGAGGCTCTAGGACAGACTTTCTGCCGGGAGAGGACGGGAGTGCTGGGTTCTTGACATGGAAGTGCGGGGAGGTAGGAGGATGGGAACACAGAGCAGGGTAGAGACAGACCCTTGCTCTTGTTCTCAGCCGTGCGGGCTGGGGAAGGGCTGGGCAGGTGAGTCCTGGAGGAACCTGACTCTGTGTCCAGCAGCTTGCTTTGCTATTTGTCCACTTTTTCTCCTCCTGTCTGTCTGAGGACTGGCCCCAGGGCTAGCCCCAGGAGAAGAGCAGAGCAGAGGGGAAGAGGGGCTTCTACCCCTTCCCCCGCCAAGAAGAGAGCTGTTGGTCAGGTCTGGGCCAGTTGCCCACAGGCCAGGGGCTGCCTGGACTCCTCTGGCCGCCAGGTTGAGGGTAGTTCCTCTGTGCTATCTGTGTATGTCTTGAGGAACACATATTTGTTTATCAAGCAAAACTGACCCCCCTCCTCTGGGGGCCCAGAGATGAGCTGGATACCAATCCTGCCCTCGCAGACCCCACAGGTTATCAGGGAAGATATGAAGAAGAGACATGAATAGTACCATCAGATGTTGTAGTTGCCACATCCGGAGGAGGGGGAGGCTTTCTGGGGGCGGTAGTGAACATGCCCTGAGCTCTGGGGTGGCAAGGGTGGGGCTTCCTCCATACCTAGTGGTTAAAAGCACAAATGAACCAGATAGAGCTGTGTGACCTTGGGTAAGTTAGTTGACCTCTCTGAGCTCAGTGTCCTTTCTCCTTGGTGTCCAACTCTTTGTGACCCCATGGACTGCAGCCCTCCAGGCTTCTCTATACGTGAAATTCTCCAGGCAAGAATACTGGAGAGGGTAGCCATTCCCTTCCCCCAGGGGATCTTCCCGACCCAGGGGTTAAACCCGGCTCTCCCGTATTACAGGCAGATTTCTTTACCATCTGAGCCACCAGGGAAGCCCCCCTTTTCCGTAGTACCTACCACAAACACTTGTGGAGCTGTAACACCATGACTAGATGTAGTTTGCATTCACTGCAGGGCATGGCCCGGGAAGGTGTCGGGGGAGTGCCCGTTGGGTAGACGGTGGCTGGTCCTTGAGCCACAGATGCTGAGAAGGACTGGAGTCTGCACTGTGTCCTCCCAGGATGACATACTGCACCCAGCACTGTTCTGAACCATTCTGACAATTTTTGTCACCCCTGTGAGCTGTGGATCGCGTACGCCGGCCATGGCCCTGGCCTGGCTCTGTTTCTCTCTGATTCCTGGAGAGTCCCTTGCCTTCTCTGAGTGGCAGATTCTTCATCTGGAAATAGTTTAGGCCGGGGGTTCCCTGAGGGCCCTTCTGGCTCTGGCATCCCATGGTCCTGAGTCCCACTTGTCACTGTCACGAGGGTCCACTCCTGCCAGGCTAGAGTGTGGTGATCACCATGCTGGAAGACTGTCCCAGCCCTCACACTGAGTGCCCCTGAGTATAGCCTGGGGATTCAGAATCAGCGCTGTGTGCCCTCCTGTCCCTCCCTCCGATGTAGACCGTTGCCAGCCACCTGCTCATCCCCTGGGCTGGGCGGCAGGCCAAGTGGGCCCTGCCTGAGCTCGAAGGTTCTGCCCAAGACCCAGGGCAAGCCCTGTTTTCCCTACATGGCTCCTTTTGGAGTGGTTGAGGCTGCTAGAGATGTGACCACAGGCCAAATGGGCACAAGGGAAAATTAACACTCATTTTCCCTTGCATTTGAAGGAATCCTTCACAAAGTGTTCTGGTGGACATTATTCGCTAACATTTACTGAGGGCTTAATATGTGCCGGACCACCTTCTAATACTTTGCCCACTTTCCAGATGAGAAAACTGGGCCTCCAGATGAGGCCCACAAAGGTGACAGAATTTGCTCAAGGTCGTACAGCTTGTAAGAGGCAGAGTCATGGCCTGCAGCCAGGCCCAGCCAAGTCCAGCGTGCCTCCGCTGGACCCTCTTATTATTTTGCCAGACCTGTGCCTTACTTGGATGAGGAAGACAGATGGGCAGACTGGATACAGAGGCTGGGCAACTTGCGCGGGTCACGTATGCGGCTGAGTGTCTGAGCTCAGAGCAGGCGAGGGAGGGGCGAGAGTGAGGTCCCCAGCAGGACTGGACCCTGGACCCCCCTGTGCCTCTTCCTTGCAGGTGGCCGACCAGATGACACTGCTGCAGAACTGCTGGAGCGAGCTGCTGGTTTTTGACCACATCTACCGTCAGATTCAGCATGGCAAGGAGGGCAGCATCCTGCTGGTCACAGGGCAGGAGGTGACCAGACCCTACTGTGCCCCTCCCGCCCACCCCCCACCAACTATGCGCTTCCAGAATTCTGGGCCCAGAAGAGATCCCAGGCCTCTCTAGGGCCGGCCCTAGACATTGCTGAATATCAGCCCTTTCCCCAGCTTCATGGGATGCCCACCAGCCCGACCTCCCTCTGACCAGCCCTAGCTTTGACCTGGAAAGGAGCCAGCGCCTGGGAGCCCTGCTCTGGGGGGAAGCAGCTCAGAGCTGTGGGGAGGGTCTGGAAGGCTCTGGGAGGAGGTGATGGTGGCAGTGAGTAGTGAAAGAAAATAAGGGTTGGTCGGGTAGTGACAGGGGTGGGGGGACAGTCCCCGCCTCCACACATGCAGAGGGGATGGCGTGAGCCGAGCTCAGAGAGGCAGGTTAGGACTGCTGAGCCGCCAGGGCCTCTGGGAGGTGGGTCTAGAGGGGAGGTGCCCTGTGGGGCTGAGATGAGGTAAGAGATAAAGCTGGAGGGCGGGCTGGGGGCTTGCAGGTTCTAAATCCAGAACGGATGGAGGGATGGATGGATGGAGGGATGGACGGATGGATGGGCAAAGGGGCCTGGGCCCCAAAGAGCTCAGAGTCAGAATTTGAGCACTCTTAGAGTGGGGGAAATAGGGACCCCAGGATGGGAGACATGGTGGGGTTGGGTTGGCTCCTGAAATCAAACAGGGGGCATCAGAAGAGTTTTAAGTGGGGAAGTTCACAGCCAAGTTGTATTTGAGGAAACGGCAGGATGGGTGGTGAAGAGGAAACGAAGGTAGCCACCCACTGCTCAGAACACTTGGGACCTGGAAGGGCATGATTCGAAGAGGGGCTGAGACAGGGTGGAGGGAAAATGGAGGGAAGGAGAAGGAAGGAAAGGGAGGCTGATGCTCAGGGTCTAGCCTATGGAGGGAGCATCACTCCTGGTGTGTGTGTGTGGATACAGGAGGAGTGGGTTTCACAGGTGTTTGGAGTGGGTGTAGGGTGGGGATTGGACACTAAAGCCCTGCCCCCAGCCCCTACCTCCAACCCAGGCCCTTAGTCTTCATCCTCTGTCCTCACCTGAGCAGAAAGCTGGTTGTAAGGGGGTAAATTGGAGGCCACCTGTGAGTGCGCATGAAGGGAGTGTGAGGCATAAGTGCTCACAGGTGGGCGGACGTCTCTGAGGCCATGGGAGTGTGCGTGCGTGTGCCTGCACCTGTATCTTATTGTGCAGATATCTCCACACACATAAGTGGGTGGATGTTGAGATCTGCCCATCACCATGTCAGTGGGAACATATACATGGACCTGTGGATGTGTGTGTGTTACCCTGTGATGTGACCATACAAGGAGGGTGTGTGTTTTCACGTCCTGAAGTGGGTGGACGACCCTGCGAGTGTGTCCCTGCATGCGTGTGAACGTGAGCTGAGGTGTGGCCGCGTCCCCCGTCCAGGTGTCCACGTGTGGGCCCCCGGGGGCACTCATGGGGCTGCATCCACGTGTTTCCAGGCAGAGCCGCCCTGCCCCCGCCCCCACACCCAGCACAAGGTGGCACTCACTGCAGATGCCACGCTCCACACAGAAGCTGCCTGTGCCACGGGATCTGGCAGCCGCTCTGTGTGCGTGAAGGACCCTTCAGCTCCCCCTCTGCGCTCACCTGCTTGGGGTCAGCTCTGCTGTGTGAGGCCCCTCGGCTCCGTGCAGGGGGCAGAGCCGGGAGCCTGGGAGGGATGGGGGGGTTTGAGAAGAAGCCTCCCCACCCAGCTCCGCCCCAAGGTGGGGCACCCCTGACCCCCAGCCTCCGCGCCGTGCCTCCCCTGCATGCCCCCCCTCGCGTCGCTGACCCTGCCCTGTGCCCGCCCAGGTGGAGCTGGCCACGGTGGCCGCCCAGGCGGGCTCCCTGCTGCATAGCCTGGTGCTTCGGGCGCAGGAGCTGGTGCTGCAGCTGCATGCCCTGCAGTTGGATCGCCAGGAGTTCGTCTGCCTCAAGTTCCTCATTCTCTTCAGCCTCGGTGAGTGGGCTGAGCGAGGCCTGGCCTGGAGGGTCAGGTGGGTGGCAGGCAGTGGGGTGGCAGCGGGGCTGGCAAGCAGACCCCAAGGTGGGGCGGTTCTCTGATGGGCGTCCTCGGAGAGGCCAGGACCCCTGCCTTCGTGAATAAATCTGTGAGGGGACCTGGTCCAGGGCCTGCTTCATCTCTGGGCCTGCGTTTCTCTGTGTGGGAGGACAGAGGGCCAGGATGAGGTCTAAGACTTGCCCTTTATGGGATAAGGACCTCTCCTGAGAATTTGGCAAATTCTTGGCTGAAAGCCTTAGGGAAGCGCCCAGGCCCCCAGAAAATGCCCATGTGATTTCAGGAGCTTCTGACACCTGGTTCCCATCCTGAGGTTCCCTGCTTTTCCTAACTCCCTGCTCCAGGGGTGTCTTTGAGGCCCAGACCCCTTTGCCCATTCATTCATTCTTTCATTCACTCACTCAAAAAACCAACAAAAAACCCCAAATCCTTGTCTTCAAGGGAAGACGAGACAATAAGCATAATATGATTAGTAAACTATACAAATTAGTGAAATGATTAGTAAAATGTGTCACCTGGAAGACTGTGGTAAGTGCCAAGGAGGAAAAAAAAGCCGGGCAGGAGCAGAGGGCAGCCCAGCCCACCAGTTCTCCCAGCTCCACAGGTGTCTGGTGTCTGCCTCCTCGTGCCCTCCTGATCCTGGCCCAGCCCGTGCCACTCCCGTCTCCACCTCCTTCTGGGCTCTCATCAGGTCGGCCTCCCTCTGTCCTTCCTCACCCAGCAAGCCATGTCCAGTGCCCTGCCTGTGCCCAGCGATGCTGTGCCCTGGCTCTCAGGCAGCTCCCAGTCTGGCAGAGGCCTTCGCCCAGCACCATCAGGGCTGAGACAGAGAGATGGGGAACCCAGGATGGGGAGCAAGGGATCTGCCTGGAAGGCTTCCTAGAAGAGGGACATCTGAGCAGGGTCTTGGAGGATGAGTAGGAGTTTGCTAGGGGGAATACATCTTTTAGCAGAGGTATAGACCGGATGGAAGGTTGGAACGGAGGGAAGTGAATGCCTTGTCACCTGGAGAGAGGGCAGGATGGAGACGTTGTCTTTGTGGGAAATGACAACATAGTCACAGTCTGGCAAGTGTGTGCCTGCCCAAGAGTTGGGGCAGCTGGGGAAGCAGAGGGTAAGATAAAGGCTGGGAGTGGGGTGATTAGTGGAGTATTGACGGGGGAAGCCCTGTGCTTAGGCTGTGGTCATGGGACTGGGTGCCTTGGCTGGATCTCCTGACCCTGGCACAACAGGTTGGTAGCTGGCGGGGGCTTGTCTGCAAGGCTACAGGGCTTGGTAGGAGACAACCATGGTGGAGGGTGGGGGCGGGATCTTCCCTCTAACAGAATGCAAGTCAGGGAATGAAGTGAATGAATGAACAAGTCTCTCTCCATCTTTATCTCACACTCTGCCTTGTCTTTGGGGGGAGTGACCTGGGTCATGACAGTGAGCCTCCAGGTGGGGTCCAGAATGTTGGGGCTGTGAGGGGGAAGACCTGTGAGCCAGGCTTTTCTGAGCTCCTGGGTGCACAGTGAGAGGAAGCCAGGGGAGCCATAGAGGCTGCTGACTGACAGGTTCCAGGTTAGGAGAGGAGTCTGAGCAGTCCAGGGTGAGCAGAGCTGGGCCAAAGAGGAGAAACCAACGACAGCTGGGATTTTGGGGAAGTCAGCCTGGAGAAGGGCCCTCTGCACTGGGCCTTGCTGTCCGAGCGGGAGTATTCTGGGAGAAACAAAGCAAGCAGCAGCAAGGGCGTTCCAGACCGAAGGAACAGCTGGTGCAGAGGGATGGGGAGAATCCTGGCAGCTCGGGTGTGGCTGTGGGGCAGGGAGAGGGTAAAGAGGAGGCTGGAGAGGTGGGCAGGGGCCGAGCTGTGCAAGGCTTTGAAGGCCAGACCAGTACCTTGAACCTTCCCTTGGGATGGATCTGCAGCAGGGAGAATCATGGTCGAGTTTGCATTTTGGAAAGGTCCTTCTGAATGCGGCATGGGAAAAGGATGCCCGTGGCAGCCCAGAGCCCTGCCAGAGGTGGGACGTGGGGCTGGGAGAAGCGGATACATCTGGGCAAGATGAGGGGCAAGATTTGCCCTGAGTCTGGAAGGTGGGAGGGGGCTACTCCCAAGATCCCACCCAGACTGCCAGACCGGGGTCCCCAAGGGGACTGGGGCCCAAGAGATGGGTGGCCACTTGCCCATCGCCCTTCAGCTGGCCTGCTGAGCATCGCCCCAGGCAGCACCTCCCTGGGCTGCTCAGCTTGAACCCGTGTGATGACTGTCCCCCCACCCCGGCCACCCCACCCTCCGCCCAGCCGCCCCTTCTCGCCTGCCTCCACAGAAGGGTGCCATTTGGCGTCTAAATAGCCGGCTCAGGCAGGCGCGAAGGCAGGTAAGGAGGTTTAATTAAAATTAGTGCCTCTCTTCTGGCAATCACGGTGTTTATGAAGATGGGCCCGGCTGGCATTGTTCTGCAGAGGACTTAATCGAAGCTTAATGGATTGACCTAACATTCGATTTCCTGACTTGCATTGAGGCGGCGGCAGCAGCATTCCCTTAAGCGTTTGCAATTTACCCACTGCTCGCGCCAACAAAAGGCGGCCTGAATAGCAGCCCCACTCGAGGGGCCATTGTGCGCGGGGGCGCCTGCCTGAGTCACCGCTATTGGGACAACATTCTTTATGCCTCGCTGGAATGAAAGGATTATTCAAATATTCAATTAAACCGTGAAAAGGGGGCTTTTCTGAGAACCTGGGGGCCCCCGGCTCCTCGGAGCTAGCAGGCTGCTCTCGGAGGTGGGGGTGCTATCTCCCAGCTCCCCCACCCACCCACCCGCCCCCGGGACTGCTGAGCAGGCCCATCTCCAACCTTCAGCGGCTCAGGGCCCACAGCTGGGCAGCAGATGAGGTCCAGTTCTTAGGTGCCTTGAGATGCAGAGTTGAATTTGCCCCCATTGTGCAGATGATGGGAAACTGAGGCTCAGATTGGGGAAGAGACTTGTCCCCAGCCACCCAGCTGGTGAGCTGGGATTTGAGCCCCCGACACAGGAGGGGACACCTTCAGTATTCTGTGACTCCTGCTCCTGTGTCTAAGGGAGGAAGGGTGTGTTGTCCCAAGGGATGTAGGCTCTGTCACATGGTCATCCCAGAGAATCTTCACAGCAGTCCCTTTAGAGGGGGGCTAGGAGAAGAGGCATGACTTGATCATGCTCCCCTCCAAGGGGGAGTCCAGAAGTCTCCCTGGGGAAGCTAAGGACCCCAGGTTGGGTGGTCCTTGGACCGGACTCCTGGGTTGGATGGAACATGAGGTCATCATGTCATCTAATCCCCCAGGAACCCATGTCCAGGCCCGACCCCGCCCCTGCTTACCCATAGTGCTTTGGAGCCAGAGAGATCTGGGTTCGAGTCCCGGCTCTGGTATCCACTGTCTGCTCCAGGCACGCTCCACTGTCCTTAACACCTGCGTGAAGGACACCCTTTCCTGCCTGCCTTCCTGTCTGCAGGGATTAACTGATGGACGTGGGCGGGGAAGGTGCGGCTGGTTCTGGGAAAACGACTTTCCTGTCTTGCACTGTGGTGGCTGGGGCTCAATTAGAGACCGTGCATCCCTCCCCCAGCCCTGCAGCCCACCTTGGGGGGCAGTGGGGGTCTCCAGCCCGCTGAGAGCTGCCAGGAGGGGTGTGTCCCTGAAAGCTGTCCTTGTCTGCACCTCCCCGCCCTGTGCTTCGCCCTGCTGTCCCCGTCACACCGCTGCTGGGAACAGTAAATCCTGGTAAAGCCGAGGCTCTGGTCCTCCCCAGCCCCCCCACTCCTGCCTCTACTGCGGCATCTTGGCCAGTCCTTCCCGCACCCTCCCCTGTTTCCTCTGGGCCCCTTTCCTTCTTTGTGGCCTTGAGCTGGTCACTACCCTTCTCTGGACCCCCAGCCTTCTATTGTAAATTGTCAGAAGACAAACTGGAGAATTGCCCAACCCAGGGGATGGTAGGGATTGAAGGTAGATGGGACTGGAAAGAGATTGGGAAATGGATGGGACCAGTAGGCACCTCTTGCCCCCAGGGAGGCTAGTTAGGTAGGGAGACTTCCCACGACATTTGACTGCATCTGGAGAGGACCAGGCTAGGAAACAGAGCTGTTATGTACAGTTGGACAGGTTGTTTAACTGAACAAGGGCACCTAGACAGGGGAAAAGTAGAGGCTGAAATCCAGCCTGCATGCCATGCCCCTCACCAAGCTGTCTTTCTGTGGGTAAGGGGAACCTTCTGTATAACTGGCACAAAGATGCCTTATGGGCTCATGGAAATTCTGGGGAGGCCAGGAAGAACATGACCCTGGCTCACTCAGTGTATAAGGGGAGGAAGATATCATGGGGGAAAGACTGGAGCGGGGGAGTGCCCAGATCCTGCCATACGCCCGAGGTCCAGCTTGGATTTCCCTAAATCCGACTTTGGACAACACAGGCCTCGATGGGCATGCTGGGGGCGGCTGGGGATCAGGGTTGCCAGGAGCATCCAGCCCTCCTGGCGCAGCGGGTGTTAAGAGGGATTAGAAGGGCCAAGGGCTGCGCATGCTGGGCTTCAGACTCCCCCGCAGCGGCAGGGCTGCGAGCAGTGGGAGCCAAGGGGAAGTGGATGGACGACTGTTTTCTGAACCACCGGCCGCCGCATCCCAGGCCAGATGGGGCCAGGAGTCAGGGATGCGGGCAGGGTCTGTGGGTTCCCGCTGACTGGTAGACCCTAGGCAGAGCACCAGCTGAAGATGCTGCCCAGGAGCTGAGGAGGGCTCCTGTGACAGGAAACTAGCTCTATGGGCACCTCGGGGGCCAGGCACCTGTGCAGCTCCCCCCCCCCCCGCCCCTTCCCCCACACCTGAGCTTTCCCCGCTGCAAGGTGGGAGTGGCCCCTTTCATAGAGGAGGAAGGCCTTCAGGTCAGGAGACGACAGGGCATGGGTCACCGATTCTAAGTGGTGGGGCTGGGATTTCAACCACCATTCATTTCACACTGAAGACACTTACTTTTTGTCTCCTCACTGGACCTCTGGGCAGAGGATGCATTGACCACACTCCTTTGTCCCTGGTCCACACAGAGCTACCCAGCCACCCACCTCTCCCTCCCATCAGCAACTGTCCCTTTATATGTTGTCCCTGTTCTCACACAATGTCCGTGTTTTGTGTGCGAGCATTTTTTATTGTTTTGGTTTTTGTTGTTTTTTTTGGCTGCACTGGACAGCATGTGGACTCTTAGTTCCCCAACCAGGGATGGAACTCATGCCTCTGTGTTGGGAGCTCAGAGTCTTAACCACTGGGCCACCAGGGAAGTCCTTTGCAAGCATTTTTAATTTATGTAGATGACTTTGGGGCTTCCCCGTGGCTCAGCAGTAAGGAATCCACCTGCCAATGCAGGAGACATGGGTTTGACCCCTGGGTCAGGAAGATCCCTTGGAGAAGGATATGGCAACCCAGTCCAGTATTCCTGCCTGGGAAGTCCCGTGGACCGAGGACCCTGGTGGGCTACAGTCCGTGGGGTCACAAAAGAATCAGACACGACTTGGTGACTAAACAACAACAGCAAAGATGGTGTTCCCTTACAGATCTCACTCTGATTCTCCCTTTTTTGTTTTTATTCTGTTTCCCCCCCACCACCCCTCTCAGCCCCTTTAAAGGGTTTGTCCCTTTGCTCAGTGCTGTGTCTGCTGCATTGCTTCTGTCTACTGCACAGGACTCCTGGGGGTGTAGCCCCCACCCAGCCATCCAGGCCACCTCCCCATCACCGTAAACACTGTTCAGTGAACATCCAAGGCCCCCTCCCCATGGCCCCTTGAGAGAATTTCCTTGGGGTGCTGGGGCCTCTTGATTGGTCAGAAGGTGGATCAAAAGAATGCCTGCCACTCTCTGGAATGAGTAGTGGACGGGACCCCTCCAATCACAGAGCAACTCTCGGGACGGTGCTGATGGGCGACAGTGATGATGGTGGTCGGGTGGTGATGCAGATGGTCACTACCCTGGAGACGATGGCAAGAGGATGGTTTTGACCGTGGGGGATGGTGTTGGTCATGGACATGGGGAGAGCAGGAGTAACAATGACACTAACCCAGGGAACCTGAGGACAGTGCCAGACACTTGTTCCTCTGAGAACTTTCTGGATATCGGCTTCCTGAACTCTCACAACCATCTTGTGAAGTAGATGCTATCGTCACTCTGCTTTGCCAGTGAAGAAATCGAGAGGTTCAAAAACAGGTCTGAGGCTGTGCCAGGGGAGACTGGCGATGGTCTCGGTGATGGTGATGGTGGGCGCAATGACAATGGCGGCAGCGGTGGGGACAGGTGCTTGTAGCTCGGTGGCCGGCGGTGGCCCAGTGTGTGATAACCACAGGGGTGTCAGCGGCAGTGACTGCTGCTGGTGGCGGCATTCAGCCAAGGTGTCGATGGTGATGGCGACCCTGGGGGTGGCAGGAACGACTGCGGTTTGGCAGGTGACGGCGGCAGGGACCGTGTGGGTGAAAACCAGGGATGCTGGTGCTGGTGACTGATGCTGGTGCCCATGTCTGCCAACCGCGGGCATGGCGCCATGGCGGCGATGGGGAGACCGTGGTTTGCGGTTGATGGTGGCAGTGCCCACGTCTCTGGTGATCGCAGGGACGCTGGTGTGGGTGAAGCCAGCGACGGGGTCGGTGATGTGACGGGACTGGTGACCAGCTCCTCCCTCTGCAGATGTGAAGTTCCTGAACAACCACAGCCTGGTGAAGGACGCTCAGGAGAAGGCCAACGCCGCCCTGCTCGACTACACTCTGTGCCACTACCCGCACTGCGGGGACAAGTTCCAGCAGCTGCTGCTGTGCCTGGTGGAGGTGCGGGCGCTGAGCATGCAGGCCAAGGAGTACCTGTACCACAAACACCTGGGCAACGAGATGCCTCGGAACAACCTGCTCATCGAGATGCTGCAGGCCAAGCAGACTTGAACTCAGGCCGGTGCGGGGGAAAGGGGGACCGGGCCGGGGCCAGGGGAGGGGTCGCAGCACCCCCGCGGCCTCCAGGTGGTTTATTTTTATTACACTGACCCAGGACCCCACCACGAAGGCCGCTGGCCCTCCGCTTTCTGAAGCCCTGTGCTTGGGAAGGTGGGTGAGGGTGAGCAGGGCCTGGCTGAGGGCAGGTGGTCCCCGCTCACCGCTGGCACTTGCCTGCCACTCAGAGTGCCCCAAGGAGGTGGCTGCTAGCCACTCCTTCCTTCCCCCTGCTCCCAGCTGTCTGTCCTGGAGTCTGGATCCCAGGCCCAGGGAAGAGGTTTGGATTCCCTGGTGGGCCTCAATGTCCCTTGAGTCAGAAGTCATCCCTTCGTCCTCTCTTGGGAGCAGAGGCAGAGAGGGGTCGAGTGGACATCAGTGGGCGAGAGAGGAGAGGGTCTCCAGACCCCCTCCTGGAGATCGGGAGGGAAGCCCTCCGTTTTGTAAACTAAGGATAACAGAGTTTGCAAACTTAGGCAAGGGACTGTTGGGCCCTGGAGGACACTGGGAGACTGGTTAGGACAAAAAGACCTCCTCCCTCAACCCTCTGCCCCATCTGACGTCTGCAGGGGAGAACTTTGACACGTTATCTGAAAAGCATTTTGCTACAATAATCTTTCTAACCCTCTCCCGCCAGAGGAGAAGTTTGGTTTGGCACAATCGGCATTCTAGCCCTGCTCACAGTTGGCCCTCCTGGCTGGTATTTATCTGCAAGGCTGTAGTCAAGAAGTTTTTTTGTTTTGTTATTTGATTTTAATTTAGATGCTCCTTGAAAGGTATGTATGTGGAGGGGCAGGGGACAGATCTGAGGACTGAGACTGGGATGAGGGGACTAGCACCAAGGACAGCCCGTGGTTTCTCTCCAGACACCCTCATATTGAGTATCCTGGGGGTGGTGCTGGGTCATTATTCCTGAGCCCCCACTCCAATCCAGAGAAGAGCCTGTCCCCCCACTCCACTAGGTGAATAGCAACATGGCCTGCGGGGAGCTCAGAGTCTCTGTGGGTGGAAATCAGGGTGATCTTGGGGGGAGAGTGTACGGGGCTTCAGATCAGGGACATTGCTGATGAACCGTTTTTCACTGGCCCCATCCCATTGGGTTCCTTGCTGCACACCTTTGAAGCTGGACCTCAACCCCTCTCCTACGTCCTGAAAGACCCTCTCCCAGGCCTCAGACAGAGGAGAGGCCTCAGTGTCCTCTGTCTCCAGGCCGGGCGTCCACGGTCTGTCCTGCTTTCATGATGCTGTTGCAGCTTGTGCTGAGCTTGCCCAGTTGCAGATTGCTGGGCATCGCTGCCCCCGCCTTCCAGCACCCTGTCTCAGTGCCCGCCCCTCTCTCCTGAAACATATGCCCCTGGCCAGGCTGGAGACCCCCCAGCCCCCAAATGAGAAGTGCCCTTAAGAACCCCCCACCCCTCGCAGCCCTGGAATAAATTTTGCAATTAGTTTCCAGCTACTTCTGCCTATTTACATTCTGGGGCCAAAGCAGAGCCTCCCAAATAGGCCTGGGTTATCTAGGGCAAGGGCGTGCTGCAAATGGGATGAAGGCGATACCCAAGGAACCTTTGGTTCAAAACTTGGGGGAGGCAAGATGGGGTCTGGGGAGGGGGATACCAGGCACTACTGGGGCCCCCCCTCATCCCTGGGTCCCTGATAACCCTGGAAGAGGCTTGGGCTTTCCGGGGTCTCAGCCTCGGTTCCACCCTGGTGTGCATCTCAGCTGCATCCTGGGCAGAAGGGAACAGTCATTTAGTGAGCATCTACTGTGTGCCATCCGTCATTTCACTGTTCCTCCAGGAGCCCCGTGAGGCAGGGGTTATAATCCAGAAGAGGGCAAGGGACTTTAGTTGGCCACCTGCTGGGGTCCACCTGCCTTCAGGGCACTGACCCTTTCTTCTCTGTCTGCCGGCAGCCACCCACAGGCCCTGGGCCTGGCCCCTCTCAGATTCCCCAACTTCCCCTCCAACCCCAGCCGCCTGGTGGCAGCAGTGAGCAGGGCCCACTCAGGACTGCTCCCTCCAGTCTGCTCCAAGTGCCCTTCCAGGACTTCACCTGCCTTGTCCATTGGTCTGGTCCCATCCGCTCTTCGCAGTCACTGTGGTAGGTGGCAGCCCCAGATTACAGACGAGGAAACTAAGATGAGTTGTCCTATCCAAGGTCACACACTGAGAAAGGCCAATCCCAGATGCAAGCTTTCATCCTTGACCCACCTTGACCAACCTAATTTACTCCCAGAGTCACTCCTGCTCCACCCATGCCTCTGGACAGATTAGGAAAAGGTACTTCTTTTAGGGCGAGGCAGCCTCAGGCAGGCAGACACCTTGGCAGTAGCACCTTCAGATGCCCTGAAGTAGATACCCTGGTTCCTGCCCCTGGGGAATGTTCAGTCTTGTAGGGGAGACTGTCTTACTCAGATTGTGATCTGATGTTATCATGTAACTGCAAGATAAGAAAGTGATTGATTCTGCTCCTGGGCGGACAGGAAGTCTTCACAGCAGAGATGTCCTCCAAACTGGGTTTTGAAGGATGTCCAGGGGTTCACCAGCTCGACAGGAGGTGGAGGCAGTCCTGGCAGAGGGAAGTGTGAACATAAGGATGGAGGGGTGTCAACCAGCAGTGTCTTGGGACCTAAGTGAAATGAAAGTTGCTCAGTCATGTCCAACTCTCTGTGACGCCATGGACTATACAGTCCATGGAATTCTCCAGGCCAGAACACTGGAGTGGGTAGCCTTTCCCTTCTCCAGCAGATCTTCCCAACCCAAGAATTGAACCAGGGTCTCCTGCATTGCAGGCGGATTCCTTACCAGCTGAGCTATGAGGGAGGTTATTTTGGCTAAAGACCAAAGACAGTGTGTTGGGGGGAGGAAGAGTATGGAGCAGGGGGTGGGGAGACTGGAAAGGACCCCTTGGTCCCCAGCCCTGACCGCCCCCACCCATATGATTAGTTTGTAGGGAGGCAGAGGCCCTCTGGAGGTGAGGGAAAGGAGTCAGGATACTACAAATACAGGCAGTGGGGGCCACCAGGTGCCCCATCCAGTTCAGTGCCACCCTCTTGCTGCCCCTCCAGGGTCTGGTCCCTTCACTTCTTTCTCGCAGTAGCGGGCAGCAGGCTCTGCCTAACAGGCCAGGCTGAGTGCCCTGGTGGTGAACCTCAGCAGCGATGCCCGGCTTGCCACTCCTCCCGGGGTCCTGCTGGATCCTCCCTGGGCAGGTGGGAACTACACTCCCCCCCACCGAGGCTGCTGTCTCCTCTCTCTGCCTGGGACCTTCGGGGCCTTTAGGCATCGCCGCCTCTGGGCTGCAGGGTCTGTGTGCCCACGCTCTCCAGCACATCCTTCTTTGGCAACAGCTGACTTTTTCTGAGTGCCTTGCGTGCCGGGCACTGGGACTAACACACAGGATGACTTCATGTCCCTGCAGAGTGGGTCTGATGTCCTCCATTCTGCAGATGATGGACTGGGTTTCTGGGAGTTCAACCCCCCAGCCCCAGAATGAAATACCCAGACCCCTGTGTTGTGCAGTGGGTTAAATACACCCTGAATAGATTTTTATCTCAGACTCAATGTAGGCAGGGCCCAGGATGAAAGTGACCCTGAGGTCACAGAGGGAACTGGCTCCAGCTTGTACCTTGCTGGATCTCCGGGCTTCTCATGCAGCCCTGCCCCACCTCCACTCACCTGCATTGGGAGTGGCTACCTGCCCCCATCCACCCACGGGATGTTCTGACGCCCCTCAACTGCGCCATGGCCTCTGGCCTGAGAAGTGCTGGTGTCAAGCTGAGGTCAGCAGGATGCTGTTAACAGCCTCTGCACCCCGAGACCAGACTCTGGGCCTCTCCTTCACCTGGCCCCTACCTTGGGGCCCACCCAGGTGCCAAGCCCTCACCATTCCTGCTCATCTTTGCTCTGAAACTGGCTCCACCCAAGAGGAGACTGGGCCTCAGAGAAGAATCTTGCCTGATGCCACATAACCAGTGATGCCGGGACCTAGTCTCATAGCCAGATTCCGAGTTGGGGGTCCTCTCGCAGCCCTGACACACCTGACCTGAAGCCACCCCACCTGCCCTGGTGCCTCCTCTGAGCAGGCTGCCGGGATGGCTCCCACTCACAGCGACTGTCACCCCTCACCTCTACGTCACCCAGCCTAGGAGACCCAGGTATGAGTCATGGAGACCTTCCCTGAGCTTCAGAGTTCTCTGTACAATAGGGGTGATGGTAGTCTCAAGGCTGAGGTTAAGGACCTGTAACTCTGAGGTGGTTTGAGGCTCACCAGGTACACTGCTGCTAAGTCGCTTCAGTCGTGTCCGACTCTGCGCGACCCCATTGACGGCAGCCCACCAGGCTCCCCCATCCCTGGGATTCTCCAGGCAAGAATACTGGAGTGGGTTGTCATTTCCTTCTCCAATGCATGGAAGTGAAAAGGGAAAGTGAAGTCGCTCAGTCATGTCAGACTCCTAGCAACCCCATGAACTGCAGCCCACCAGGCTCCTCCGCCCATGGGATTTTCCAGGCAAGAGTACTGGAGTGGGGTGCCATTGCCTTCTCTGGCTAGGTACTCAGTAGGTGCTAATTAGTGTTGGCTACACCTATTCTGATGGTGAAATTGGGTCCGTCTTGAGTCCCAAAGTCAAAGCAGTAGCTTGTTCCTCCCTCCTCCCAGGGAGCCTGGCATCCCGTCTGCCTCCCCAGGCCAGGGTGACCCCCAGAGAAGGAAAAGTTACTGCAGTACCGTTTATTACCAGAGACACCACGGGGCTGTCAGAACTTTGGGGCAGGAGGGAGGGGCAGAGGGGAGGGGCGGTCAGGACAGAAAGCTGGGGACAGAGCTGTGGGACCTGGCGGGGTAAGCAGGAGCTCCAGGGCCAGGGGTTCCCCTGGCAGGAGGGAGAGGCTGAAGCCCTGGGAGTGGGTGATGGTCCACACGCAGGTCGGCAGGGGCCCCCAGGTGGGCTTGCAGAGGTCCGCAGGTGGAGCTTGCAGGAAAGTCCCCATGCACTGTCTCTAGAAACCTGGGAGGAAAGTGTACCCTGTGCGTTGGGCTGGCGGAGAACCAAGATGGGGACCCACCCTTCCAAGATGGGAGACGGCTGGGAACTGAGGCAGGGAGGAGACTCTGGGTGGGATTCTGGCCTGGGTGACCCTGGCAGTCTCTCTCAGCCTCTCTCCGAGCCTCAGCTTCTCCCTCCGGAGAACCCCTGCAATGCCGGGGTGCGGGCTATGTGTGGGGGTGGTGCCCAGGCGCTTTCGGGAGGGGCGGGGGCAGGCCTGGGAGAGAAACACAGCAGGCAGCCTTCACTTCCCTGCACTTCTTGCTCGGGCCACCTGAGTGGGTCGCGTGGTGGGGTGGGGGGCCCTAGGGCATCTGGAGGGCGGTGCGGGATGGGGGTCCCTCCGAGGCCGAGGTGGAAGCGGCTCCGTTGCTACGAGGGGCCTTAGCAACGCACCCATTCAGCGGAGACAAAGGCGCTGTCACTTGAGCGCAGAGGCGCCTCTGCCGCTCTCTTGTTCCCACAGACGCTGCGCCTGCGGGGGCGGGTGCTGGGGGGCTGGGAGCCGAGGTGTGTAGCGGGGTGATGGGCGGGGAGGGGGGGGGTGCCTTTCTGCCCGCTCGGCACGCCCCCCACCTGCAGGACGCCTGCGCCCTCCCGGCAGGCCTGCAGGGGGCGCCTCCAGCCCATTTTGCAGAAGGGGCAGCTGAGACACGGAAGGACTGGGACATCCGCCTGGACGCAGGTCGGCTGGGAGTCGGGGGTCATACAGACCTAGGCTCAGATGTGCCTAGGCTTACCCCCACGAAACTACTGCTGCCTCAGTGTCCTCGTCTGTGGGGCTGGGGGCCTGACCCCTGGCTCGTCAAGGGCTCTGCTCTGTGCCTCAGCGTTCGGAGCTGCACAGTGGGAGGGTGACCGCACCCCTGTTTTCCCCAGTCACCGCATGAAAGGAGCCACCAGATGCCCAGGTTTAGCACATAGCCCAGCCCCGCTGAGAGCTCCACAGGCAGGCCTCTGGCCCTGGCTGGAAAGAATCCCGACCTTTCGGAGGCTGGGCAGTGCTGAGTCGGCCCCCCAGAGGCTTGTCTCCAGTTCAAGACTGTGGGAACTCGGGCTCAGAGAGGCTGCCAGAGTCCACGGTCCCCGGGGGCCTCCCTCGGGCCAGGCTGAGCGCTCCTGGAGCAGGCAGCCCTGGCCCTGTCCTGCTAACTACAGGTCCCCACCCCCGACCCCATCACGTCCCCATCAGCTGTCCAGTGGGGAAACTGAGGCCTTGGGGAAAGCACTTGCTCCTCGTTGGGTTTGGAAGAACTCTCAGACCACCGCGCACCTGGCCAGAGCGCTGAGAGCGGGTGAGGTGGGGAGGCTGGGCGTGGGGCGCACAGAGGAAGGCAGGCCCGTGGATCCCTGCCATCCTGGCAGCACTGGCTGGGGAAGGGGTCCCAAACTTACTGCCTAAGAAAGCCTCTCCCCAGAGCACTGACCGAGCCCCCCGGGCGCTAGCGGGGGAATTTTAGGCACCAACAAGGAGCAGAGTGAGACAGGAAGAGCCGCTCAAATTGTGGGAGGCTGGGTGGGGCTGCTTCTCAAATCACTTCCATTTCCACACAGTGGGGCTGAGGGAGTGTCCGGACACCAAGGGGAAAAGGGGGACATTCCCCTCCCCACCTGGGGTGTGGGAGCCGTACCGGAAGCCTTGAACGCTGTCAGCTCCACTGCCTGGGGACAGAGGAGGTCCGTCAGAGGGTGGTCCCCTCTCCTTCTGCTCCTCTGGCTCTGGGGGCCCGTGGCTACCTTGGCAATGACTTCCCCACCCCCGGGGGCCTTGGCATTCAGGTTCTGCCAGCTGCCCCCAGCACCTTTCAGTCTGGTAATTGAAGGAGGAGGCCCCCTGGGTCCCCAGGAGAAGCCCCCACCCCAGCTCCACGCTGGTCCCTGTGGTTTCCCTAAGCTTCAGGTCACAGCTGCCAGCCCCTTGGTAGAGCCCTGCCACCCCTGACCCAGCCTCACCGGTCTCTCGGGTTCTGCAATGGAGGAGAAGGTTGTGGGGATCCTGGGGCCGTGGGTTCCTAGAAGGGGGAAGACATTTGAGCAGGTGAACTTGTAAGAAACTGAGGCAGGAGGCTGTCTCTCTCTGCTCCCCTACCCTGAACAGGGACCTCATTTATTAAAAAAAACAAAAACTCTTAAGAATCCACTCGAAAATTTACCTCATAGATTAGCGCTGAAGAAACTAGGACCCAGAGAGAGAAAGTAACTTGCTCAAAGGCACACAGCAGGAAAAGCAGGAGCTCAAATACAAATTCCTGGCCTGACCTGAAGTCACTCAACCCATGCCCTGTCTCAGGGCACCGAACCCCATCCATCTACCTGCCTTCAGGAACCCACTACACCTCTTCTGCATGGAGACCCAGGGAGGGTGACTCTGGCAAGCTCTGCCTCTGGGCTGGGCACCAGGGACAACTGTTGCCTGGTGGTGGGGGTGGGAGGAGGAAAGGAGCCTTTTATAAGCCATCCCCAGGTCCTGCGGTCACAGAAGACTGCAGCACTGGGGAGACTGGGGCACTGGGGAGACTGGGGTGCTGGGGAGACTGGGGCACCGGGTGGCACTTAGACTGGAAGGGGGTGTGGTCTCACCTCTAAGAGCCAGGTGTCTCTGGGGTGGAGCCAAGACTCTGGGGTCGTCCCTGGCCACCTCCCAGGGACATGAGGGTCTAGAGTGGAACCCCGGGCCCGTGGGACTGGAGCGAGCCTGAAAGGAAGGGGCATCAGCGCTGGGATCCCTGCCAGAGGGGGGGCCTCCCGCCCCTCGGTCCCCAGGCCTGCCCACCGTGAATGCCTCTGCTGCCTTCTTCTCAGCCATCCTCTGCAGGGCGCTCCGGACCTGGAAGATGGGGCGGGGGCAGGGCTGGGACCCCTCCCCGACCCCCATGGGCCAGGTGCAGAGCCCCCTACAAGTAAGCCCTACCTGCCCCCACCCACATCCCACCCCGGCAGCAGCCAACGTCCCCGGACTTACCTCTCCGTTGTAGGCGGCATAGACCAGGAAGATGTACGGCCCCTGGGGACAGACCCAGGGTGAGGGTGGGTGACCTCCTGGGAGGCCCCCATCTCCCACTGCCTGGCCTGGCACCACAGCACAGACAGCCCCAGAGACATTTAGAGACACTGGCCAGTGAACACAAGTCCTGCCCTGCCCGCCAACCCACGATGAGGAGTGGGCAGTTGTGGCATTCCATGGCAAGGAGAACCAGGAGGGCCTGGCCCTGCCAGATCCCATGCCTTCAATCTTGGGTCACCAGGCAGCCTCTCTGCCCTCTATCCCTCCACACCCCACCCCCCTGACCTGCCCTGTCCTCACGGCCTCGCCTCCTCCTGAAGCTCCAAGGCTAAATGAGGTCCAGAGACAGAGATATCACTGCATTCTGATTGTTCAGTTCAGTTCAGTCGTGTCCGACTCTTTGCAACTTCATGGACTGCAGCATGCCAGGCCTCCCTGTCCATCACCAGCTCTCGGAGTTTACCCAAACTCATATCCATTGAGTCAGTGATGCCATCCATCCATCTCATCCTCTGTCATCCCCTTCTCCTCCCGCCTTCAATCTTTCCCAGCATCAGGGTCTTTTTCAGTGAGTCAGCTCTTTGCATCAGGTGACCAAAGTATTGGACCTTCAGCATCAGTCCTTCCAATGAACATTCAGGACTGATTTCTTTTAGGATGGAATAGTTGGATCTCCTCGCAGTACAAGGGACTCTCAAGAGTCTTCTCCAACACCACAGTTCAAAAGCATCAGTTCTTCGGTGCTCAGCTTTCCACTAGCTGAATGCCTCTCTGAGCCTCTGTTTTTTATCTGGGAAGTGGGGATGCGGCCAGGACTTGCCTCCTGCTGTGTGTGAACTCCGAGTCACAGCTGGCTCCTCCCCACACACTCAAGGACTACAACGCCATGGCTCCTCACCAAGCACCAGCGTGCTTGACCCTCACAGCAGCTCCATGGTGGGGGGTGGAGGGAGGCTCTTTTTCCCCATTTGATGGAGAGGGCCCTGGGGCTGGGGGTGGGGACAGAGCAATGTGTCCCAGGCCGCAGGTGACTGGTGGAGCTTAGGACTCCCTCACCTTCCACCTGGATGACGCAAAAGGCAACAGTTCCTCCCCTGAGGCTCAGACAAGAGGATACAGGTGAGGGGATGTGGGTTCCTTGAGGCCCTCTAGCTTCCCAGGGCTGAGAACTGGAGCCCCAGGGCCCTACTAGTCTCCGTGGCTCCCAGGCACCAACAGGGTCGCTACCAGCCCCAACGCTGCCCCTAAGCCAGACCCTGGGGGCTCCCAGCCCCACATACCGGCCCATGCTCCCCCTGCAGCTCTCTGCACAGTGTCCCCCATCCCGTCTCCTTTGATTCAGTCCTTGTGCTAAGTCGCTTTGTGAGCCCGTGGACTGTAGCCCACCAGGCTCCTCTGTCCACGGGATTCTCCAGGCAAGAATACTGGAGTGGGTTGCCATACCCTCCTCTAGGGAATCTTCCCAACCCAGGGATCGAACCTGCGTCTCCTGCATTGGCAGGTGGGTTCTTTGCCACCTCCTCACACCCAAACAAATTCACTCCAATCCAACCACACCAGCAAACTGTCCAACATCCTCCAAGGCAGGGGTGGAAGTCTCAGCTCCTCACACCAGCTCTGGGGACCCTGCATGGTCTGGCCCCCATGTTCCCTCCTGCCCCATTTCTCACCAGCTCCCCCGACTCCATGTCTCTCTCCATCTGATCTCACTGTGCTCCCCTAACTTAAAACTTTATTCCTCTCTCTCCATGCAGCACTTAGGCATTCACTGAGCACCACGCCTCCAGGGAATGCCCACTCTGCCCCCTGATTCGCTCTCGACTAACCCCCTTGCACCTCTCAATCTCAATCACACCACACTGCGGTTGTATGGCTTTGGTGTCTGTCTGCGCCCCCCCCAGGCTGAGACCTCCAAGGGTGGATTCTTTGACTCTGTGCTCCACCACGGTCTCAGCATGCAGCCCAGCTCAGGCACAGGGCAGGCGCCGGGGAAGAACTTGCTGAATGGCTGAGTGAAACCATCTTGCGCCAGGTTATGCTTTGCCCTTTGCAAATATCATCTCAATGGAACCCAACAGTGATCCGATGAGGTGGAGATTATGATTCCCTTTATACGGACGTAGAAACTGAGGCCTGTCTCCACTTGTCTAGGCCTCTCAACAAGACCCTCAGACAGGGAAAGTGTGAGCCCCAACCTGTCACAGGACTGAGACTTTGCTCTTCCAGCACAAAACCTGGCAGAGAGGCCAGACGGGAACAAACCACCCCCAAGAGCAAATAAATGAGTCCGGGCAGATTTCAATCCCTCCAGCCCCAGCCCTGCTCTCTGGTCACTTGGGGCAGGTCCTGCCCAGCTTATGCCCCAAGACAGAGTGAGAAAGGGTGAGGCTGGAGGTTGAGCGGGGAGAGAACGGCATGGAGCGACAGCAGGTATGACAGAAGATAGAGGAGAGGGAAAGGCCGGGCCTGGGGAGGGAAGCATCCAGTAAGGACTCAGAGGACGTGGCTCTGAGCCAACTTGGGAGCTGCCCTGAGATAGTCACGGGAACATCTGAGTGGGCTCAGGTCTCATGCCTTCTGATCCCTCACGAGGCAGCCTTTCTCCTCTCCTTTCACCAGACCTGAAGGTCTGAGGCTGGCTTGGGGGCGGGCGGCAAGAGGGGTGACCCTCAGAGAGAGGGAGAGGCAGGGGAAGGGACCAAGAGACAGGGGGTCAGAGCCAAGAGAAGGGGGCGATGTAGAGAGAGATCCAGGAAGAGGCAGGTGAGACCCACACCAGAGGAGAAGGGGACAGGGAGAGGGGTCTGTGACAGAGACTGAGCCTGAGAGACAGAGGAGGAATCTCAGGGAGAACTCAGAGACGAAGTAAATGAGACACTGAGAGAGGAAGGGACCTGCCCTGAGAGGGAGGCGGAGAGGGCCGTGAGGGGGGCTCTGGCCCTGTGGCTGCAGGTCTGCCCACCCGAGGGCCAGGGGCAGGGATGGAGCTGGAGTAGTTGCCATAGCAACAGGAGGCTGATACCTGCCCGCCATTCTGAGGCAGGGCGGAGAGACCTGGGCAGGGTCTCTCTGCTAAGTGGACCGAGCTGGGATTCCAGCCCGTGGAGCTCTGGGAGTGCAGGGCTTGGAAGAAGGGCTTCTCCGTGTCCGTCTGTGTCCCCGGCTGCTCAGCCCCACCACGTCTGCGGAAGCCGTGCTTCTTTGGGAAGAGCGTGGGAACCCCAGATTTTCTTCATTCTCCTGGCCCCACCCCGGGCATGACCTCCATCCTTCCTGAGCTGTCTGCTGCTTCCCCACCATCTCTGTTCTTTCCTCTCTCCATTCCCACACCTCTTGGCAGAGGGTGGCGAGTCCCCAGGGCCCAGGGGGAGACGATACCATGGACCAGGACCCTGGAGCACTTGGTGCGGACCACAGGAAGAGGTGTTGGGGGTACCAGGGAGGCCAAGGGGCCGGGTGGGCCCACCTGGACTCACCTCCCTCCCAGCACTCACTCAGTCACTGGGTTGTGGCTGTTTGTGGCCATGCCTGAGTCCCCCATAGATCTGCAGACCTCTTGAGGACAGGGTGCCTAGTCTGACCCACTTCTGTGGCTCCAGGACACGCAACCAGAAGGGCACACAGGATTCCTGCGGTCCCATGGTACTGCTTCCTTTATGTGGGTCATGTTCTTCCAACCAGCACCTTTTCTAAACTGCTGTTTTCACTGGAGGAGTATCTCATGCTGCCCCACAGTAGGCCACCTGCAGACCCCAAAGGGAGAGGCCCCTGGCGTCCTGCATCCCCCCTCCTTAGCTTCCTGCCAAGGCCTGAAGTGGTTTGAGCACAGCCTGGAGGCTGGGACTTCTGCTGTGCCCTCGAGCATCAGGGTGCCAGGCATCTTAGCCACCCCCTTCTGGGCCTCAGTTTCCTCAACTGTCTAATGGGCCACAAAATCCTCCATGAGGTTCTGCTCTTTGATTGGAGGTTTGACCCAGTCCCCTCTCGCCCGCCCTCCTCCCGGCAGTGTCCCCACCGCCTTGGTGACCACGAGAGAGAGGACACTCCCTCCCCAGGCCCCTGACCAGCCCACCACGCCCGCGGAGCTCCAGTGTGTGGCCCAGGGCCTGGAGGTACCTGCAGGGAATTGAGGCCCACGGCGGCGTAAGCCCAGGCGGGGCTGAGGTGCACCAGCAAGCCCACCAGCCAAGTCAGGCCCAGGACAGGCAGCAGGACCAACACCGGCTTCACCGTGGCCCTGCAGGACAGAGGCGGGGCTGGGGGAGGCCAGGGGCTGGGGTGGGGGAGGCGTCCTTACAGGGTTCTGGGGAGGGCAGTCCCCAGCAAGCATCTGGAGAGGGCCTGGAGCTGCAGACTGGGGACTGCGGCTCAGGACTTGGGTGTAGCTGGAAAGCTCAGACAGAGTGGCAGGGAGTGGGGGTGCTGGAGCTAGGAAGGTGGGGTCCCAGGTCCAAGTCTGGCTCATCCCCAGCCTGGCTCAAGGGAAGGGAGTGGCAGCTGTCCAGGGGGAGGGCTGAGGCCTGGACAGTGAGTCCAGGGGGCATGGATCTGGAAGGGCTTCCTCTTCCCCCTCCTCAAGTTCCCAGGGGGGCAACCATGCTTTTCAAGGCCCCACTGGCTTGGGTTGCCCTCCCCTTGGCAGAGGGTAGAGTGGCCAAGAGGAAGGCCTGGGGTGTGAGGGGGTGGCCCCTCCAGCAGGATATGGTCCTGTAGTGATGGGGTTCCGGCGGGGGTAGAGACCTAGACTCTCACTCTGAACCTGAACTTCTAGGGACTGCCTCATTTAGGGGTCCCCTCCACCTGACTCCACCAGAGACAGTGCCTTCTGCAGATGGTGAGTCCCCAGGACAGTGACTGGTGCCTACACTGCCCCTCATATACACACAGGCTTCACCATTACCATCCACACATCCACACACATGAGCACGTGTGCACACACAGCACGGACACATTGCACACACACACCCATCTATAGCCTTGCACACGTGAGTGCACGTGGCCACACACACACCCACCCTGGACTCACGCATGCTCACACCTGCCCCCCCCCTTCTGAAGCCCCCAGGCTGGGGTCTCACCACATCTGGATCCTGAGCTGCTGCTGCACGCAGGGCTGCGGGCTCAGCATGCGGGCGTGGCGGCGGGCACTGGATACGGTGACAATCACCACGCGGACCAGGATGCAGGTGTTGGCCTGGAGATCTGGTGTCAGAGAGCAAAAGGGGCTCCCCCTCCCCGACCCATCCCTCCCCGGCAGGGCCTCTGGGCCTCTCCACTCACGGTCAGCACGAAGAGCACGGGCCCCACAAAGGCCCAGATGGCGTCTGTGTGCACGTTGAGCCAGCAGTGCCCAGTGGCCACGTAGTCATGTGGGGACATAGCCAGGGTGATGGCCACGATGGCCACAGGCACACCTGGGGGATAAGAAGTGACTTCAGGACCATGCCACCCATTGTGTCCTCCCTGGGAGCCAGCCCTCGTCCAGAGCTGCAGCCCCCAGCCGTCCCATAGTAGCGGGTGTAACGGCGGCACTGGGCGATCCAGGGAGTGGGGTTTGGTGGGCTTGATATTTGTGGGTGGCATTGGAGCCCTGAGCGGTTGGGAAGTGGAAGAGCTAAGACAGAGCTGAAGCCTTAGGGCTGAGAATCAGCAGAGTTGGAGGCTGGTGGCTGGCATGGGCTTAGCTGGGGCTTAGCTCCCAGATTAGGGAGGCGGTGCTGGAGGCCAGGAGCTGAGGTGGTCGAAGTGGAGGAGGATTAAGAACTGGAGTTGGGTAGAGTTGGAGGTTGATGGAGCTGAGTTTGTGTCAAGACACGGGTGCTGGGCGCCAGGTGGTGCTGGGTGCTGGTGGAGGAGGTGAGTGTGGCATGGTGGTGGGTATGGGGCGGTGGGTATTGGGCATAACGGAGGCCATGCAAGGCACAGTCAAGGGGAACAGGACACGAATGAGGAGCAGAGGGACCTCACCCCAGCCCGTGGCGTAGTAGAGCGGCATCCGAGGGCCCGGGCGCATGCTCACGGCCACCACCTTGCTCCACAGCAGCAGCCCCTCCGCCAACATCCAGAAGAAGGCGGCCAGAAAGAGAAGGTGCATCACAGCTGTGACGGCCACGCAGGCCACCTGGACGGGAGGGTGGGCGATCCCCACTGAGGCCAGTTATGGGTGCGGTCCGCCCTGGGTCCCCTGTCCATGCCTGGCATTGCCAACCCAAAGCAGTCTGAGTAGGTGAGGTCCCCGGGTAGCGCCCCGGGTCCAGCTCCAACATTCAGTTTTTCCTCTTTAGGCCTTACTCCTCCCTGGAAAGGGAGCCGGGTGCAGACGTGGGACGGGGTGGGGGGCAACCCACAGAAGGCGGAAGGTGTTTTCCCAGTCACCCCTGAGCCCACAAGCCTCCCCTGCTGGTTGCCCACCTTGTCGGCCTTTGCCCACTCGCTGGCCATGAGGAAGCCCTCGGCGGAGGCCAGGGAGAAGGTGAGGTTCTTGTGGACCGTGGCCCGCTCTGACTTGGGGACCCTGGACAGACAGGGGAGGTGTTAACGGGGACACCACCACCAGCCCCTACCCGCATCAGCCCCAGCCTCGCCCTCATCCGGGTGAACTGGCTGATGAAGGCAGAGAGGGCGGCTCCACAGGGGCCCACAGCCCCAGGGGAGGGCCCCGGACCGGGGTCTACCTGGACCAAGGGTGGACGCCCTCCCAAGGAGGGGTGTGGAGGCCGGCAAGGGGCGGGGTGGGCCCAGGGTGCCACAGCGGGTGGTGAGCCTGCCTTACCCAGCCGCCAGGAAGAGCAGGAAGGTGGTGGAAAGGGTACAGAAGGACACACCACAGCCCACAAATGAGAGCGTCCTCAGCAGTGACTCCTCCTCAGGGCCTCTCTGGAGGAGGGACAGAGACCTCGGAGGGCAGGAGCCCCGCCACCACCCTGCGCTGCCGGCACCAGGCCTCACCCGCCCCCGCCGGCAACTCCCAGGACAACACCCACCGCCCCATACCCACCCCCGCCCTCCAGGCCTGCACACAGCAGGCACTTAATAATGAGCATTTGCATGTCCTCCTCTGCTGGCTCTCCCTGAACGGGGCCCGGCTTTCAGTGATTTCTCAGCACTGGATGGGAAGCGGCCGACACACCCGTGGGGAGGAGACGGCATGTGATGACCACCTGCTGAGGCAGGAGTAAGGAGCTGGCACGAATTACTTACGATGTGTCAAAGGTCCACGCTCTGTTTTTACAGGAAAACTGCATCAGATGGCATGTTTCTCTAGTGTGCTCCCCAACACGCCAAGTGACCCCAGCATTCCTGGGCTCAAGCCCACCTCACTCAACCTCTTGGTGAGTGACCACTGAGTCCCTTTCTGGCTCCAGCCAGCCCACCTCGCTTGGCCTCCTCCTGGAATTTGGCTTCCCCCACCTCAAGTCTGTAAACGCTGGTACCTATCAGAGGCCTGCTGTGGCCGAAGCTCCTTTTACTTCTAACTGCATCTCAGCCACGGCTTTACCTACCAGCTCTTGTTTCCAGCTGAGACCCCTCCTGCCGTGAGCACTAGGCCACAGGACCCACGGCCCCCAGACCAGTGGTCCCCCAAATCTGTTGCCCACCTGAGCCTTCTCGGAAATGAGTCTCTCATCTTCTAGTGGCCCTGGACCCCGTCGCCCTCAGCCCAGTCTCCGGGTCTCCCCACTGCTCCCTGGTCCAGGGGCCCTCCCTTCTCCTAGGCCCCTCGCTGCTTTCCCCTGTCACCACCCCAGCCTCACTCCTGGCACCGCGGGCTCCTTTGTGCAAAGGTAATGCCTGCTTCACCCCCTTCCACACATCCTCTGCAACAGGACCACCACCCAAGCACATGAGCCTGGCATCCCCGGTCTGTGTGATCTGACCCAGGCCCACCTTGCCCACCGCCACCCCCCCATGGACATTGCACTGAAAGCCCCAGACCCATCGCAGTTCTAGAATGTAGCTCATCCGCCAGTTCCAGCCTCCTGTGCCTCCCTGGCGGCTCAGCTGGTAAAGAATCCACCTGCAGTGCAGGAGGCCTGAGTTCGATCCCTGAGTTGGGAAGATCCCCTGGAGAAGGGAAAGGCTACCAACTCCAGTATTTTGGCCTGGAGAATTCCACGGACTGTATAGTCCAGGTGTCGCAAAGAGTCGGACACAACTGAGCAACTTTGACTCTGCCTTTGCTCAGGAGGTCCTCTGCTTGGCACACCTTTCTGTTCAAATCTTGTTCACCCTTTAAAACTGGGTCCTGACATCACCTTCCCCTGCCCCACTCCCCAGCACTCACCTGGACGTCATACACCTGCAACAGGACGGCAAAGTTGGTGCTGTGGTTGCAGAAGCAGGCAGTCGAGCCCTGGTACAGGGCAGTCACGGAGCAGCCAGTGGTGGCCCAGGAGCCCCCTGAGCCTGGGCTTGGGGTGAGTAGGGGATGGAGGGCTCTTGAGATGCGCTGCACATGGGGGTGGGGGCAGGGGGAAGCCTTTCCACAAACCCTGGGGTCTCTCAGTGCCCTGCCTCTATCCAGTTATGTGACCTTGGGCAAGTCACTGCTCCTCCCTGGGTCTCTATTTCCCATCTGTGAAATGGGAGGATGGGGCTGAAACCAGTGATCAGTATTAACTGCATTAATTACTAAGGAACAGTGATTAATCTTCATTCCCTGGCTTGGGATATATCATCAACTCTAACACCCATTCCACAGAAGAGTCTCTCCCTACTCTAAGTCCATAGAGTAGGCTTACATAGTTCCTATGACAGGGAGCTCAGTACCTCCTGAGTAACAGGCTCTTCTGCCCCAGTTTGTCCCCAGCTGAGTGGGGCCTGGAACCACCCCCACAAGGAAGCTGATGAATGGAGGCCAAAAACTCACTTGAGTCCTGCCTCATCCTCAAGTGGAATGGATGTCTTTTTTTTTGTTTGTTTTTTAATGCCTTATTTAAAGAACTTGGAAACTCACCTGATACTGAAGTTCCAGAAAGCACAGACAGGCTCCACCAGCTTCGGAGGGAAGGCCTACGGGCAGCCAACAAGGACAGGGCAGATATGTGAGCGCACGTGGGCAAGGAGGGAGATCAGTAGATGCAGGGAGACATGGAGACGTGTTTGAGGGGCTGGGGGTTACCTTGTATAAATCATGGGTGCAGTGGTTGGAGAAAAATGCTAGTGGGAAGGCACAGAGAAGGTGAAGTGAGTTGAGTTGCAGGCTGGCATTATGGTTAATATGGTTAAAATCCTAGGAATGAACTAAATGTCCATCCTTTGGGGATTCCATAAAAGAGCTCCCGGAAGTACTGTGAGTTTAGCAAGCCTGCAGGATACAGTATCATTATATAGAAATCAATTGCATTACTATAAACTTATATGAACAATTTAAAGTTGAATTAAGAAAACAACACCATTTACAAAAACATCAAAAACTCTCTACTACTTAGCGGTGCATACATGCTCAGTTATTAAGTCATGTCCTACTCTTTGTGACCCCATGGACTGCAGACTGTCAGGCCCCTCTGTCCATGGGGTTTCCCAGGCAAGAACACTAGAGTGGGTTGCCATTTCCTCCTCCAGGGGATACTCCTGACCCAGGCATGGAACCTATGTCTCCTGCGTTTGCAGGCAGATACTTTACTGCTGAGCCACCTGGGAAGCCCACACTACTTAGAAGTATATCTAACAAAAAACCTCAAGACCTGTACACTGACAACTAAATATCACTGCTGAGAAAAATGCAAGAAAATCTAAATAAACGCAGCGATATGCCTTGATCAAGGATTGGAAGACTCATTGTTAAGATGCTAGTTCATCATCTTATTTCAATTTGGGAGATTTGGTACAGTCGCAATCAAAATCCCAGTAGGTTTTTCCATAGACATTAACAAGCTGATTCTAAAAAACAGTTTTTTTGGCTGTGCCACACGGCATGCAGGATCTTACTTCCATGACCAGTGATCACCTATGCATTCTGCAGTGGAAGTGCAGATTCTTAACCACTGCCAGGAAAGTCCCCTGATTCTAAAAGGCATACAGCAATGTGAAGACCCTAGGCCAGCCAAAGCAGTTTTGAAAAGGAAGTATAAAGTTGGAGGACTTACATTAACTGATTTCAAGGCTTACCAAACAAATACAATAATCAGGACATAGAGGATTAGTGTATAGATCTAGGGAATAGAATAGAGAGCTCAGAAATAGACTTACACATATATGGACAATTGATTTTCAAAAAGGTGACAGGATAATTCAAGGGAGAGAGAATAATCTTTTCAACAAATGGTGTTGGAATGGGATATAGCAAAATATGTCTATATGGAAAAATATGAAGTCAACCCCTACCCAACAAAATATGCATAAATGAACTGAAATAAATCTATAAATGTAAAGGCTAAAATGAAAAACTCCTTTGAGAATATCTTTGTGACCTTGGGATAGGCAAGTTTTCCTAGACATCATGCAAAATGCATAAGCCATGCAAAAGAAAAATTGATAAACTGGATTTCATCATATTTAAAACTTATTTTTCAAAAACACTGTTAAGAAAGGCAATCCACGGACTAGGAGATATTATGTACAAAACATACAGCTCACAAAATACTTGTATCCAAAATATATAAAGAATTCTTACAATTCAATAGTAATACAAATAATTTAAAAATTGAGGAAGAACAAAGCTGGAGGCATCATACTCACTGATTTCAAACAACATTACAAAGATACAGAGATTAAACAGTATGAGATTGGCATAAAAGCAGACATACAGATCAATGGAACAGAATAGAGAGCTCAGAAATAAGCCTTTGTGTGTATGGTCAATTAATTTATGACAAAGGAGCCATGAATGTATAGTGGGGAAAGAACAGTCTCCTCAATAAATGATGTTGGGAAAATTGGACAGCCATAGGCAAAAGACTACCCACTCCAGGATTCTTGGGCTTCCCTTGTGGCTCAGTTGGTAAAGAATCTGCCTGCAATGCGGGATGCCTGGGTTCGATCCCTCGGTTGGGAAGATTCCCTGGAAAAGGGAAAGGCTACCCACTTCAGTATTCTGGCCTGGAGAATTCCATGGACTGTATAGTCTATGGGGTCACAACTGAGCGACTTTCACTTCACTACACAAAAGAATAAAACTTGGCTACTGTCTTATACTATACACAAAAATTAACTCAATGCTGAACTAGACTTGAATTTAAGACCTGAAACCATAAAACTGCTAGAAAAAAACATAGGTGCTAAGCTCCTTGACATAGCAAAAATATTTAAAAGTCAAAACTATGCAGTTAAACATAGGCAGAAGACATACAGACAGCCAATGAGTACATGAAAAGATGCTCAACATCATTAATCATAAGGAAAATGCAAAACTACAGTGAGATATTACCTCACATCTGTTAAGATGGCTATTACTAAAAACACAGGAAATAACATGTTGGCGAGGAAATGGAGAAAAGGGAGCACTCATACCCTGTTGGTGAGAATGTACATTGGTGCAGCCACTATGAAAACAGCACAGTGGTTCCTCCAAAAATTAAAAATAAAACTACCTTGTGGTCCAGCAATTCCATTCCTATATATATCCAAAGAAAATGAAGATACTAACTCAGAAATTATATATGACACTGCTTATCTGGATGGGTAAGCAACAAGGACCTACTGTACAGCACATGAAACTCTGCTCAATGTTATGTGGCAGCCCAGATGGGAGGGGAGTCTGGGGGAGAATGGATACATGTATATGTATGGCTGAGCCCCTTCACTGTTCTCCTTAAACTATCACAACATTGTTAATCAGCTACACCTCAATACAAAATAAAAAGTTTTCTTAAAAAGAAAATATATTAATATATGCACCTCCATGTTCACTGCAGCATTATTTTCTAAAGCAAAGATATGGAAACAACCTGTGTCCATTGATGAATGAAAGAATAAAGAAACTGTGGTGTGTGTGTGTATATATATATATACATACACACATAAATATATATATAGTGGTGTGTATATATATATATATATATATATACATACACACATAAATATATATATAGTGGCGTGTGTATATATGTGTGTGTGTGTGTGTGTGTGTGTGTGTGTGTGTACAGGCTTCCCTGAAAGCTCAGCTGATAAAGAATCTTCCTGTAATGTGGGAGGCCTGGGTTTGATCCTCGGATTGGGAAGATCCCCTGGAGGTGGGCATGGCAACCCACTCCAGTATTCTTTCCTGGAGAATCCCCATGGACGGAGGAGCCTGGCAGGCTACAGTCTATAGGGTCACACAGAGTTGGATATGACTAAAGCGACTTAGCATGCACACATGCATATATAAAAATGTAAAACAGAATATTCAGTTCAGTTCAGTCACTTAGTTGTGTCCAACTCTTTGCGACCCCAGGGACTGCGGTACACCAGGCTTCCCTGTCCATCATCAACTCCTGGAGCTGACTCAAACTCATGTCCACCAAGTTGGTGATGCCATTCAACCATCTCATCCTCTGTCGTCCCCTTCTCCTGCCTTCAATCTTTCCCAGCATCAGGGTCTTTTCAAATGAGTCAGTTCTTTGCACCAGGTAGTCAAAGTATTGGAGTTTCAGCCTCAGCATCAGTCCTTCCAATGAACATTCAGGACTGATTTCCTTTAGGATGGACTGGTTGGATCTCCTTGCAGTCCAAGGGACTCTCAAGATTCTTCTCCAATCCCACAGTTCAAAAGCATCAATTCTTCAGCGCTCAGCTTTCTTCATAGTCCAAATCTCACATCCATACATGACTACTGGGAAAACCAAAGCTTTGACTAGATGGACCTTTGTTGGCAAAATAATGCCCCTGCTTTTTAATATGCTGTCTGGATTGGTTATAACTTTTCTTCCAAGGAGCAAGCGTTTTTATTTCATGGCTGCAGACACCATGGGCAGTGATTTTGGAGTCCAAAAAAATAGTCTCTCACTGTTTCCATTGTTTCCCCATCTATTTGCCATGAAGTGATGGGACCAGATGCCCTGATCTTAGTTTTCTGAATGTTGAGTTTTAAGCCAACTTTTTCACTCTCCTCTTTCACTTTCATCAAGAGGCTCTTTAGTTCTTCTTCACTTTCTGCCATAATGGTGGTGTCATCTGCATATCTGAAGTTATTGATATTTCTCCCAGCAATCTTGATTCCAGCTTGTGCTTCATCCATCCCAGCTTTTCTCATGCTGTACTCTGCATATAAGTTAAATAAGCAGAGTGACAATATACAGCCTTGACGTACTCCTTTCCTGATTTGGAACCAGTCTGTTGTTCCATGTTCAGTTCTAACTGTTGCTTCTTGACCTGCATACAGATTTCTCAGGGGGCAGGTAAGGTGGTCTGGTATTCCTACCTCTTTCAGAATTTTCCACAGTTTGTTGTGATCCACACAGTGAAAGACTGGTGTAGTCAATTAAGCAGAAGTAGATGTTTTTCTGGAACTCTCTTGCTTATTCTTTGGCTTTTTGCACTTCTTTTTCTTGGGGATGGTCTTGATCACTGCCTCCTGTACAATGTCACAAACCTTTGTCCATAGTTCTTCAGGCACTCTGCCTATCAGATCTAATCCCTTGAATCTATTTGTCACTTCCACTGTATAATCGTAAGGGATTTGATTTAGGTCATACCTGCACACATGCATATATAAAACAGAATATTTTTCAGCCATAAAAAGAATGAAATCTTGCCATTTGAAACAATGTGATGGACCTTGAGGCCATTATATTAAGTGAAATAAGTCAGAGAAAGACAAATACCTTATGATCTCACTTATATGGGGACTCTATAAAAAAAAGTCAGGCTCATAAAATACAGAGAACAGACTGGTTGCCAGTGCAGGTGGGGCAGGGGCAGGGAGAAAAGGGTGGAGGGAATACAGCAACAAAATTAAGAGAGAGAGGATCCGTGTGGTTTGCTTGGAGAAATCTCAGTGATCAGAAAAGGAAATAGCAGGCTAACGTAAACATTTTTGAAAAAAAAAATAAAGAATATTTCCTATATTTTAAAAAGCCCAATGACATCTCAAAATTTTTTAATTAAAAAAATGAATGAAAACTGAGAAAAAAATTTGAACTTATATTGAACAGAGGAAGATGCATGAATGCCTGATAAGTATATAAAATGATGCTCAAAATCATTGATCTTCAAGGAATTGCAACTTAGAACCACAATGAGATGTCAATACAAAACCATTAGAATCAACAACAAGCAACACCATAGATGATACTCAAAACCAACATCTGGGCAAAAGAAGCCAGACTACAGTACACATTATATGATTCCTTTTATATAACACTTTAGGAAAGACAGACAATCTAGAGTCACAGAAAGCAAAGCAGTGATTTCCTGGGTCAGAGTGGGGAAGGCTGATGGGGAAGGAGCTTGAAGAAGTCTTTGGGGAAGGCGGACAAGCTGGGTATCTTGACTGGGGGCAGCAGCATATGAGTACACACACTGGTCAAAACTGATCACATTGTACACTTACAATGGATGGTTTAGTATATGTAGATTTATGTACTTTAATCTGATTTTTTAAGAAGTTTTGAGATGATATACAAAAGACATAAGCTGTGGTATATGAGTGTATTTGTGTGTGTGTGTGTGTGTGTGTGTGTGTGTGTGTGTGTGAGTGTGTGGGCACATGTGTCCAGGATTGGTGGTTGTGGGGAAAGCAGACTCTAACTTTCCCTAAAATGCTCTAAAGCTTCAAAAGCAAGAAGGAATTTGTGTTTTACATGTAATGAATTAAATGACATATCCTGCTGATACTTCCATGTCAGTTTATAGCAAAATACCCCATTCCTTACATAACCTCAGCTGACATTCTATTGTGTAGCTCTACAAGGCTTTTTTGTTGGGGAAGGGGGTGCACTGCGTGGCATGCAGGATCTTAGCTCCCCAACTCGGGATGAAACCTGTGCCCCCTGAAGTGGAAGTTCTGAGTCTCAGCCGCTGGACATCCGGGAAAGTCCCTACAAGGCTTTTAAAGTAGTCTCCTGTTGATGGACATTCAGGTTACTTTCATGCTTACAAAGCACACTGCAAGGTGGGGCTCTCACATCTCCTTATGTGATCTGATGAGAACCACCAGTTTTTTGAGCCATGAAGAACTATAACAAAATCCCAGCTCTGCCACTTAAACAAACACGATAACAAAATCCCAGCTCTGTACCAGGCACACTAGCTTCCCTAAGCTCATGTTTGTGGACTGGGCAGTTGGAAGATTAAATGAATGCAGCTTATTGAAGGCATCTGCCATAAAGTAAGCATGCAATGCATTACTTCCCTTCCCCCTCTCTCAAAGACAATGGGATGGCTTGTGGATGTGTATTTTTCTTGAACAGTTTTAGACCTTGGTTCTCCAGTGAACAAATACTGGGATGTGTGTGTGGGGGGAGGGGGTGGGGGTAGGCACCCAACCAGGATAACTGTCCCAGGTGGCTGTTTCCCAGAAGCATCGCACAGTACCTGGGTCTGGTGTTGCAGGTGAAAGGTCACAGCTGTGTTGGCCTCTCCAGTTTCATCCCACACCTCAGAGGAGATGATGGCTGACCCCACCTGGGTGCTTAGGAATCTGTGGGGAGAAAGGGAGCTTTTAAGGGCACCAGGGGTCTGTGGGAGAGAGGTCACACATGACTGAGGTCATCAAAGATGATACCTCTAAGTCCAAAGAAACATTAGCAAAAGCCCTGTGCGGGGAATTAGGGCACCTGGGTTCCATTCTTGCTGGTAATTTGGTTGCCCTGGTGACTCAGAGGGTAAAGAATCTGCCTGCAATGCAGGAGACCCTCCAGGGTTTGAACCTGGGTCAGGAAGATCCCCTGGAGGAGGAAATGGCAACCCACTTCAATATTCTTGCCTGGAAAATTCCATGGACAGAGGAGCCTGATGGGCTACAGTCCACAGGGTCGCAAAGAGTCAAGACACGACTGAGCGACTAACATTTTCATTTTCTATTCCCTCCCTGAGACTCAATACTGGAGCCGGGACCCCAGACAGGAATCGAGCCATGTTCCCACCAGCACATCTTTTCGAGGCCCAGAAATCTGTGTGTGTCAGGGGTGAGCAGGTTTTGCCATGGGCTGCCAAGGGCAGATTTGCCCACCACAGTGGGGGTGGGTTCTGGGAAGGGATGGAGGCCTGGCCTTCCCTGGGGAGGAGATCCAGGCCCTCGGCAGCCTACTGGGTGGGACTCACCTCTGCATTCTGCTTGTTTGTTCAGGACTGTCAGGAGCCCGAGGCTCCTGGCCAATGGCCCCCAGGGTGTGCTGGAAGACACTCGAGCTGAACCAGCTGTGGATCACAGTGACTCCAGAGAGGCCTGGATGAACAGGAGGAGGCCTGAGACCCACGCAGTGGCTGAGCAGGCACCACAGGTCGGTCCCGAGGGAAAAGCTCTGCCCACTTTACAAATAGGGCAACCAAGGCTCATAGAAGTTAAATGACCTCCCAGAGATCACACACTAGAGAAGTGGGCAGAGCCAGAATTTCAACCAGCCATAGTTGACGTGCTTAAGCTGGCAGCTCCACAGCCCTTTGCCCCTTATCCTAATCCTCCACCCCAGGTGGAGTTTGGGGTTTGAGGGGAGGAGACTAAGTGAACACCTACTATGGGGTAGGTGTTTAAGCTCCTAACAATCCAGTGCTCCTGCTGCTGCTGCTAAGTCGCTTCAGTCGTGTCTGACTTTGTGCGACCCCATAGATGGCAGTCCACCAGGCTCCCCCATCCCTGGGATTCTCCAGGCAAGAACAGTGGAGTGGGTTGCCATTTCCTTCTCCAATGCATGAAAGTGAAAAGTAAAAGTGAAGTTGCTCAGTTGCCTCCGACTCTTAAAAACCCCATGGACTGCAGCCTACCAGGCTCCTCCGTCCATGGGATTCTCCAGGACAATCCAATGAGGCGAGTAATAATCTTACAGATGGGAAAACAGTTCTGAAAGCTGAAGTGACTTATTCACAACAGTAGAGCTAGGAACTTTGATGGTTGAGATTTGACCCAGAGCCCTGAGGGTCCCACCACCCGTCCCCCTCGCCCACCTTTCCCGAGGAGCCGCCTCACTTCAGCAGCGGGGATGCGGATGTGGCCAGGCCCCTCTGGATGCCCGCCGGGCACCGTGAACACGTAGCCCTCCATGCTGGCCTCCCTCAGGCGTAGGCGCCGCACCTCCAGGCCTGGGGTCAAACGGGGCTGAGTGGCTGGACCTCAGGAGGGAGGTCTTCAAGCTGGGCTGGCCCAGCTGGCAGGGTCTGTTTACCCTGTCCCTGCCACTCATCCAGGAGGCCACCATTCCTGCTCAGAGAGGCTCAGCAACTTGGCTGAGGTAAATCTGACATTTCTGAGTCCAGGGAGACAGGGTGACTGAGAAGGGGGAGTCGCTGGACGGCAGATCCTGAATATCAGTGAGCTGCCAGAAACCACTGGGCCCCTGAAAGACCCAAGTTTTGCCTGACATTCCACTGTCAGTGCTTCCCCACTCAATCCGTAACACAAACATTCACCGAGTCTGGTCCTGAGATGCAGAAATGACTCAGGAACAGCCCTGGTACTCAGGGAGCTTCAGGCTGAATCATATTAATTGCCACAGAAGCAACAAAAGATAAGTTCAAAATACCAGGGTAACAGAGGAGACAGGAACTGACTGTTGGGAGAGAGCTTAAACTGGGGAAGTCTTCCTAGCAGAGCTGATGCTCGAGCAGGGTTCTGAAGGATGTATAGGAGTTTGCTAGGAGGTCAAGAAAGAGAGTATTCTGGATGGAGTACACAGCATGGACCAGGGCAGAAACAGAAAGGAGAATTGGTGGGAGTCGGAGAACTCCCAGTGATGAGCGCTGAGGAGGATGTCTGAGCCCAGGTCCCACCCGCAGCCCAGTTGTGTGGGACAGGTTGGGGCAGGCTCACTAGCATGGTGGTACTGGAGGTGCATTCGAGGCTGCTCAGAGGTCAGCATGGAGTTCAGCAGGGGTGCCAGGTGCTGCACGCTTGCCACCAAGGCCATGGGTCCGCCAACCACCTGGGAGGAGGCCACAGCTGAGCCCCTCTCACGCTCCACACCCCACTGCCGCCTGCCCTGACTGCTGGGGTTAACACATTCTCACGGATCTGGGAGGTGGCCCGCCTGCTCTGGACCCTCAGAGGCTCTGCCTGAGGGCATCCAGGATCAAGTCCTGGATCCTTAGCCTGATATTTGAGGCCCTGCCTGATGAACCTTCTCCGGCTTCTCCAACCCAGTCCTAAGCCACGTTGTCCTCGACTCAAGCTGGAGGCCTCACAGTGCTCTCTGCCTGCTCGTAGGTTGTTTGCCAATGGGGCACACTCAGAAGGCAGTGCCATGCCTTTTGCCTCTTTGGTCTGACAGGTGCTCAAGTTTTAACTTCTAAAAGAAAGCCATGGGGGTGGGGGGGAGTGGTGTTGGTGGGTGGTGCTGGTGAGGACAGAGCAGGGATGGGGATCATGCATGGTTGGGACCCCTCCTCTGTGCTGGGCAAGTCACCTGATTTACACCTACTCCTGTCCATTGCCTAAGCAAGCCAGGTATGATCATCCCTATTTTCCAGGGAAGAAAACTGAGATTCAGAGTCCAGTTTGCCCCAGTCTTCCACAGTGTTTCAGATCCTCAGTAAAATGTGGGGTTACACCCTCCCAAGGGTGGGGAGCACCACCTGGAGAGGTGAACATCCCACAGAATCAGCCTCCTGGGTTGTGCCATCCCTACCTCACCCTCAAACCCAGGTTTCGGTTCTGAGGTCACAGGGGACCATGCCTGCCTCTGAAGCCCCAGAGGTCTCAAGTTGATGTTCATGACCCTGTGTTTTCTCCCTTCTTTGAGCTGATGATTCCCAGGTCTACAGCCACTTCTGCCACGACGAGATTTCCAACACCCTCATCATCTGTCTCTATTCTCCATGGCCGAACACTTAGTATAGTGAACCTCCCACATAAGGTGGTCAGTGATTGTTGGGTAGGGGAGGCCCTTGTTGACTAGTGGCTCTTAATTTTTAATTGCAGAAGCTGTTGTTCAAGAGCAGTTGTTTGTGGAAGTTCAACTTATAAAACAGACAAATGAGAAGCTTCTCCAGATGGATGGCAAAATGGAGCTCGGAGATGGGTGCTGACTTGCCCATGGCTACACAAATGGGTGGCAAGGTAGGAAGCAGAGCCCAGGCCCCTGTGGCGCCCAGCCCTGCCAGCCTCACCTCACTGACTGACAGCCATGCACCAGCCAGCGGCTCCTCCAGGACCAGGCTGGCCACAGACATGACGGCCTGGCCCAGCTGCTCCCAGGGCCCTGTCGTGGGCTCTGGCTCCCACCTCCCAAGGGCAGCCACTCTTTTCAGAAAGCGCAGGACAGCCAGCAGTGCTGCTGGCCCCAGTGGAGCTGTCTCCTTTGCGAGGACTCCCTCCAGGATGCTCAGGAAGCTGGCGGCCTCGGTCAGGGACAGGTCTCCGTGGGCTTCAGAGAGAGGGTCAGGAAGGAGCTGTGGGGCAGAGGAGCCGCTGATGGCGGGTCTGATGGTCACAAGGGGGATCCCACCCCCCCCACCCCCCCACCAGGGCCTATATGCTTGGTCTCTGCCCGTCTTCTTGGTGGGTAGGATCTAACTACTCATGAGCCCCCAGCTCTCAGAGTGCATGGGTGCGTGAACAACCTTAATTCCTGCACACACATTAGGTGGGTGTCCCCTTTCCAGGTGAGGACACTGAAGCTCGCGGAGGCTACCCAAAGTGCCCCTGGGAGGGGGCTCACCACAGTAGCGTTGGCCAAGGCATTGACTCGGCTGATAACATCCTGGCCAGGCCACGACTGGGCATCCTGCAGCCACTTGTACTTCTCTGCAAAGCAGTGGATGCCAGACTGAGCCCTGGGCAACCTCCTCCCCAGAGGTGCCCCATCCACCCTGTGCTTGCAGGGGCTGGGCACACTGATGGCGGTGTGTCTGGAGACTTAGGTGTCCTGGATGGGGAAACTGAGGTACAGAATGGCAAAACCACCTGCTTGAGGTGAATCCCACAATCTGGCATTCTCCCCCAGGTCAGAATGGCCCCATTTATCTGTGGTCTAGACTCCACCGAGGCCCCAGGATGCTGAGAAGATTCCCAGTTCCCAGGCTGTGCCAACTGCTGCTCCCTCAGGTTACACTGGTCCGTACCCAGCGTCCCCTTCAACAGAGCCGGACGGCGCACCTGTCCGGTAGCAGCAGAGGAAGGGCAGCGGCTGCAGGCAGAGCAAAGAGCCCTCGGTGTGGGGTCCTGGGTTCCACGTAGGGCACTCCTCTGAGGGCACTGGCCAGGGTGGGAGAAGTGTCAGGGCTGCCTCCTGGCTCCCCACCGTCTCCACGACCTATAGCCCATTCGGGCCTTGAAGGCACCGGCACGCCTGAGGGGGCACCAGGACGCGCGATGCTGGAGTTAGGGGGCGACGTGGGAACCGGAGAGAGGAGCGCTGCAACCAGCACTGGGCAGAGCAAGGCGGCCGCGGGGTTGGGGACGGGAGAGCGAGTCCCTCCAGGCTGCCATGACTAGGTACTAGGTAAAGGAGGCCTGGAGAGGGCGTGGCCGGACTTGGGTGTGGCTCGGTTGGCAGAGGTGGGCTGGGTCCGGTAGGGAAGCCAGGAGGTTGTGGGTGGAGCCAAAGGTGGGCGGGGCCTGGCAGGCAGGAGGAGGGACAGACCGTACCCGGACAGAGAAGCCGCACCCACACCGGCGGCAGCAGCGAGGGTGTGACGTCCAGGGCGCCCAGATCCCAGCGGAAAAGCAGGCCGCCGGGGGGCGGCGCGCAGGCCCGTGCCCGGAGCATTTGCGCGGGGCTCAGCGCGCGGGCCCACAGGTGGAAGTCGGTGAGGTTGCCGCTGAAGGCGTCGCGCGCTGAGAAGCCGCCGCCCAGAGAGTCCTGGTCCTGGCCCAGCACGAGGATGCCGCCAGGTGGCAGCGGGTGGCCGGCGCCCAGGCCCCGCGCCCCAGCGCGTCGCCGCCCATCGGCGAACAGCGACCAGCGCCCGCCGAGCTGCTCCCACGTGGCGCACACGTGGTGCCAGCGGCTGTCTGCGCGGAAGGCAGCGCGGAAGGGCGCGTGATGCCCGCGCACCACTAGCGCTGCGTGCACGGCGCCGCCCGGCTCAGCGAAGGCTCGCAGCTGCAGCGCGTTGGCCAGCGTGGGCACAGCCAGCGAGAAGAGTGCTGCCGGGTCGGACGAGGTGGCGTCCCACTGCACGTGCGCGCACGCTGTCAGCTCCCCCAGCGCGGGCAGAGGCATCCGAAGTCGAGCAGCCCCGTCCGCGGATCTCTCCCCGAACATCAGTGCGGCCGTGGCGCGCGCGCCTGCAGGGATGCGCCTCCGCCTCAGTTTTCTCACCTGCACACACGGTCCCGCCTCTGACAGCCCATTGTCACATCTGCAAAGCCCACCCCCTTAAGCTTTGGGTGCCTCCCTCCCTCGGGAAGGAAGAAATGGGGACTCCAGTGCCCCTAACCCAAGGGTAAACCCTCTACTCTCAGTCCAGGACAAGGGAATCTGAGATTGCCACTCGACTTCCTCTGCGCTCAAACCACAAAGACTGTCACAGAAGGCTGCTATCTTGAGGTCACCAAAGCACCCTCCCCCCAGCCCCCATTTTTAAAGCCCCAGCCCAAACTCACGCCTCTGCAGGGGTCTTCGCAGAGGGGCTTCTCTTTGGCCCACCCAGATGGGGTCAGGTAGCCGTGCAGCGAGGAGCCCATTTGGGGGTGGCAGTACCAGGTGACCCAACCGCTGCTCACAGGACTCTTGGGCCTGCCACCAGCTCAGCCGCTGCCCTGGGAACTTGCACACCTCGTCTGCAGTCTCCACTACCTCTCCAGGGGCCACTGGAGCTGCCGGGTGGGAGAAGGGTCTATGGGGGAGAAGTGTGTGGGCATCTGACCCTTGCTGGGTGAGTGGGGTGGCAGAGCCAAGGACATTGTGCTTGGAGACATTCGGGGCTGGAGGGGGCTGAACCCTGGCTATGCTAGCAAGTTTTGTCCCCTTGCTGGGTCTGTTGTGTCATCTGACGTGTAGTGGTAGGAATGACATGGACAGGAGTGATGCTTTCAGCCCAGGGCTTGGTGTAGTGGGGCTGAACTAGACTGCACATCCTCCTTCCTTTGCATTCCAGGCCAGTGTGGCACATGGACCAGGGGCTGGCTGAGCTGGGGAAGGGGAGAGCCTCTCTGGGGCATCCCTCATACCAACCTGTGACCCAAGGGTTCCTTGATTCACCTGGAGAGTTGGAAGGGGTCCCAGAGAGACTCCTTATCTGAGAGAGAAGACAGGTGGGGTCTGAGTCAGATCCCCACACCCATATGTGCTGTTATTGAATGTCTACTATGTGCTTCAGCGGGGTACAGTGGAGGTAGCAGACTCATGCAGTCAGACCTGGATTCACCCAGAGTGTGATCTTAGGCAGGTCACTTCATTGCCCTGAGCCTGTTCCTAGCATCTGAAGTGAAAGTGAAAGTGTTAGTAGCTTAGTCGTGTCCAGCTCTTTGTGATGCTATGGACCGTAGCCTGTCAGGCTCCTCTGTCCTTGGAATTCTCCAGGCAAGAATACTGGAGTGGGTTGCCATTCCTTTCTCCACGGGATCTTTCTAACCGAAGGATCGAACCTGAGTCTCCTGCATTGCATGTGGATTCTGAACCACCAGGGAAGCCCTAGCATCTAGTGGATGCTTTATTCTAGCTCTGTGCCGGGGACTTAGCTTGTGTAACCTTTGCAGTTACCTCATGGTGTGAGGTGGCCACTTGGAAGCCTAGCATCTTTGAGTCCCCTTGGCCTCCTCCCCTCCACCCTGTGCCTCCCAGAGGTTCGGGTACCAGGAAGGCTAGGAGGCAGTAGCACCAGGGGGCCATTCTGGATCCAGCAGGAGGAGCAGGCAAGGAACAGCAGAGATCACGGGCGTGGCCGGTATAGACTGAGGAAGGAAAAATGCACGGGAAGGCAGCTCCGTGTCCCGCCTTGCTGTGCTACCCACTCTGCCATCCTGCCCCTTGTTTGGCTCCCAGACCCCACTGGGCTGGAAGCCCAGGATGGGATGGCCCACGCAGTGGGGATGACATTTACTTGCACAAAAGGGATGGTCTCCAGGAGCCTCTTCCAGGACTGCAGCTGGGAAACACTGTAGCCCTGGTGAGCTGGTGGGGAGTAGGGTGGGGACAGCAACAGCCCACTGGCCAGAGAGGGACGAAGCCAAGAGCAGGGTCTCCTGAGGTGGGGGTGGGGGGTGGGAGAGTGAGCCCCCGACCCTGTAGGTCTCCTTGTGTTCTTTGCGCTTCTCAGCCTGGCATTCAAGGCTCTGTTGCAATCAGGCTTCTGCTGAGCTCTCTGGCCTCATCATTTGCCCACACAGCCACCCTTCCCTTGCTCCCCACGCTGCTCCCATTTCCCCAGGCCGCATCCCTTCTCCAGACCTTTGGCCACGCTGTCCCTCCTTCCCAGACTGGCTTCCCGCTCCCTCGGAGGCACCGCCTACAAATCAGCTCGCCGTCACTCCATCCACCCAGCACCTGCAGCAGACCTGCCACCGCCAGGCGCTGTAGTTAGCTGAGGAGACCCTAATCACAGGTGATTTGGGGGTTGCTCTTGGCAGCCTAGTGGGGGTGGGGGCGGGGTTCAGGTCTGAAAGAGCCCTGGCCAGGCACAAATGGTCTCAAAAAACACTGGAAGTCAAGTAATGCCCCACTGGGTCCCACCATTCGGCCTCAGGTCACCTGGAAGTCTAGAGCCATCACCAATGATAACTCGTTCCCTTTCTCCTTTCCCAGATCAACTCTGTAAGCGTGAAAATCAAACCCCAGCCTGGGAGGACACGGAGAGTCACACTTTTTGGACTCTGAAAAGCACCAAACTTATTGTCACCTCCCCCCTCTTTTAAACAGCACTTGTGTCCCCCAGGGTCCCACCCCCAACCCCAAGTCGGTGGGGGAATTTTAAGAGTCTGGTCCGGGCACACAGTGTGGACTCAATAACTGCTAACTGCCCGCCGCTCTGTTCACATTTGTCCGTGTTTGTCCCCACAAACTCCCTGGCACCCCCCTTCCTTGCTCACCGAACACTCGTTGGCATTCAGAAGAGAGGCGAAGTTTGGTCGCCCCACTGCACGTCCGTTCTTCACAAGAGGCCAGCGGGGAATCCCTCGTAGGCTGATGGGCCCCGGGGGAGCGGGGCGGCGCAAAGGGCTCCCCTTCACCTGCGCTGATCCCGCCCCTGTTCACAGCGCGGCTCCTCACCGGCTTCCCCTGGTGCCT